ACAGAATATGAATACCTCTATGAAAAAAAAACGTATGTGTATTGTACTTTTAGTCGGTCGCAGTACAATAGTCGACCTTGTTTTTTTTTTTAAAGAAAAAGCTTTCCCTGCTTGGTGCTGCATCAAACAGACAAAACTTTCAAGGCAGTAATTTTCTCAAGTGGGCGTCTATTGCACCCACCGAGTACTGTGTTACCTATCTGCCTTCGGACTTCCCGAGCTAGACCTACTACAATCCTCAGGGCAGTCATTTTTCACAAAAACGTATTGGGTTTCAATCCACACCAATGAATTACGTTCTTTTTAGTTTAGACTTAGTGTCGCGAATATCCGAGTTCGGACCTGTTTTGTTTTGGTCTGGTTTTTATTGAAAGGCAAGTTACCAGTGCAGTCACTGATTCCTAGCCTGTCTGCTAATAACCTAATACCTCTCACTTTAGTCTTTCTTCCGTTTACCTAAGTCCTTTAATAAAATATTACCCCTCCGGATTGGAAAAAATAGGACCCTTCCGGACTCACAAAATTTAGTCCCCTCCGGATTGGGACCCATCTGAGTTAGTAAATATAAGACCCCTCCGGATTGGGACCCCTCCGAATTAGCAAATATAAGACCCCTCCTAATTCGGAAAAAAAATATTTTTTTGACCCCTCCGGATTGGGAGCCCTCTGGTTTTGTAAAAGTAGCTTTTCGGAGATTTCCTTCTTTCAACCTATACCCCTCCGGATACGTTCTCCGATGCAATTTTGCTTTTTCAATTAACTAGGAAGGGTATGTAATGCTTTCCTAGACCCTTCCGGATTGAAGTTAAGCCTCTTATTTGACAATTCACGCTAACGGTGAAGGGTCTTATCGCTAGCCTAACTTCGGCTCGATTAAGGTTTTCCTGGACCTTTAGCCTTCCCTTTTCGTCTAGAACAGCCTAAAGTTACTTTATTCAACCGCTATTACCTTTTGGTAGGGGTGTAAGGGCTTTTTTTTAAAAAAATTTATAAAACGTGAACGGTCTACCCTCCCAAATTGGTGAATTTGCTAAAAACAATCTCAAAAACTTTTCACGCTTATTTTTTCGAATAATTTTTGTTCCTATTGGTAAGCTCAGCTAATTTCTGATCTATTGATACAAAGATCAACTCGATATGCCCAGTAGTTCCAAAGTTATTAACCAAAACGTCTTTTTTCTAAAGTCAAAAAATTTGTCTCTTATAGGTTCCGCCTAACTCTTTCCGCAATTCTGTTCTTTTCGACCTGAAAATTATTGATCCGAGCTCAAAAGGCCTACACTCGTCTAGTTTGATGCAAAAAACCCGATCTAAAACGCTTTAGTTGAAAAAATTTGAGAAAAACTATGCTACCTGTACCCCTCCGGATTGATGAATCCACCAAATCAAACACGTTAAGTTCGATTTCTCTGCGACCCGGAAGGCTTTCGGGAAGCGGGTTTTAAAAATTGTAGATTCACTAGTGGAAGTTGTCCGAACAATTATTTTTACTGTTCTAACTCAAAAATTTTAAAAAATTTTCTGAATTTATAGTGTTTCGTTTTCTCAAAAATCACGAAAATTCGGTTTTTGGTTCCAAAATAGTTCCAACCACTTCCCAACTAAACTTAACCGGTTCTATCTATTATGGTAGTGCAGTTACGATGTAACACACTACTTTAGCGCTTTTTTCCGTTTCAAAAAATATCGATATCTCAAAAATCGCGACTTGTGGGGTATTCAAAATATCGCTATTTTGACCCTAAAAACCGGTCTGCTTTCTGTGTTTTTCACTGAAAAACGATATAGCAGTATTAATATAGGCTATACAAGTAATATTATTTTTAATACTATACCCCTACGGGTTTGTTCAATATCCGAATCAAGGTGCTTAACTCGGATATTCGCAGTTCGGTGAAGGGTCACTACAGTGCAGCACTGTCGAGCCCCCCACAGATTACTATCTTACTTTTTGTACCAAAAGGGATACAAAACTGGTTAACGATACCCAACAGTCGATTGTTGTTGTCGTTGAGCCTCTTCTTGATGCTCCTTGTACTGCTTGCCGGATCAGTCGTCTCCCAAGACCCCTCCGGATTGAGCGCAAATCAGCTGACCCTTCCGGATTGAACGCAATTTATCATTAACGTGCTTAAATGCTCAAATAACCCTACAGTACAAGCCTCACAAATGGGCTACAAAATTGATCGTAACAATCCTGACTGATATAAATGCCTGTAAGAACAATATATCTATCAACAACAAACGGGAGGGTCGGATCACATCTTGTCTGGGGGGATGATTTCTACTGATTTTTTACTTTTGTACTGTTTTTGGTTTTTTCGGTTATTATTTTATGTTTTTTGTTTTTCTTGGGTACTATACTACTTTTTGTTTGGTTTTATATATATCTTTAAGTGTTTTTGGTCACAAATCCCTCAGCGAACGACGGGACCGCGAATCCCCCCAACCTTCCTGGTTCGTGAATTTTCGGTCTTAACTAGGTTAAAAAGCTATTCACGGTAATCCGGAAGGCTTCCGCGTTCCGAACTACCCTTCCGCCCCGGCGGTTTAGGCCTATTAAGGGCGTTAATGTGAGCATCCGCTCGGCCCGGAGTGCTCGTTAACGGTTCTGCCGGTCATGATGTTAAAAAAAGAATAACACCCAGGAGCGCCATAAAAACATCTATGTAACATTCGCCCGGAAGATACATATCGACGGAAACTAAAACTAAGTCCTAAGACGACTGGCTAACGTCTAAACAGAGCTTTTCTTGTTTTTAACCGACTCTACCAAGCCAGTATTTTCGGTGGTCTTTCTAACATCGGGTCGACAAAAAAACATTACTGTTTCGGCTTCGGTCAAAACACTCAAATTAACTTAATTACATGCAGAAGTAGTGAGCTCATGGCTGGGTCTCAGTATCTCCAGACCACGAGATCACTCCTAAAATCAGGGCTACTACTACTTATTGAATTATTATTGTTTTTGTTCAGTAGTTAAAAATCATCATCTCCATCGAAGATGGATCAACAGTTTCCCCCAACTCCTAGCTTCTCATCCTAGCAAAATGAATTCAGATGTTAATTAAATTCAACTCAGGACATGACAGGGAAGCTAAAAATTATATAAGTTAATAAAAGTTCCAGTCCGGAGACCCCTCCGGATTCCTGAATCCGGGGAAATAAGGCCCTTATTCTCCTTCCGGAAGGCTGGTTTTCCACCCTTCACCGTTGTTTGCAACGGCCTTGCAACTATTGCAGCGACACAATAGTTGCAACTCGGAGCGGTCTCTGCTACTTCTGCAATTCGTTGTTGTTTTTCAAGCACAAGTCTCGTTGTTCACGCTATCGCAACTAATGTTGTTGTGTTTTTCTTCCGGTTTTCTGCCAAAATGGCCGTTTCTGACGTTTCTCAGAAATATGACGTCATTCTTCGAAAATTTAAAAATTTGAAACACCAGAATATTCTAGCCTTCACCGTTTGGCCAATCGTTCCAATAACGCTCTTATTCCTTCAAAATCGCCAATTCGGAAGGTTCGCTGCTAAAAACTCGAATCTGCTGGATCTGCATTTTAGTCCATTCTGGTCGAATGTCACAATTCTCGAGTTGCTTACTGATTTAGTTACTCCAATTCTTGAGTGTGCTGATATGTGAGTACCCAATTTAGTTTTCTCGTGTGTTTTATGATTGTTATGTTGAGGTAAGAAGAGTTTTAGGTTGATCCATCTGAAATGGATCAAAGTTCCATTGTCTAATAAAAAGTAACTGTGGAGATTGTTCCGACCCTGTTTTTAACGGCATTCGTGTATTTTGGGCATTTTGAGACCTAAGTATGCGGACGTTCTTGTTTTCTAGAGTGGGGGGTATTTTGGTAGTGGCCTTCAAGCTGTAACGGGTTTTTAGTCTCATGTCGCAAGCGAACCGAATTGGCTCCGACCTTTTTGAGGTAGAAAAACACGAGAGATAGTGTCCCTGACTCTTGAGCCAATGGTTATAGGGCCTATTAATATGTGAATTTAACATCTCAATGAGACAAAAAGTGGAAAAAAGAGTTTTTATTCAGTTCCACTTCCATTATCGGTACCGCTCATGGATCAAGTGTCAACCTGTAAACTTCCTTGACTTTTTGCTGGATTGTTATGTGTTGTGAGAAACCGACACAAGTGTCAAGGTGCATATCTGAGATAATCACACAACTGCAGTACTTGCAACTACATGTCTCATCGTCCGCAGATTCGTAACAGCGCTCTTTATGACATAAAACATGATGAAAACCGTTGCTGTAAAAAATACCTCTTTCTTTCCTGTGCGCAGGACTACAGTTTTGTAAGCCCAAAAAGTCATTATTGAACAAAAAATGCAAAATTTTGTGTGTTCTGCTATAATTACTTATTCCGATCCATTTCTTGAAATAAAACCCAGCCAGTTTGGTAAAGTGTTCGTCTCTCTTTCCTTCTGTGATAACACATCGCTGAAAACATCGAGAGCGTAAGAAGCAGATGAAAATATGACGCTCTCATAGAGTCTAACCGAGGACTCAGAACAAATTTTTCTGAGTTGGACTTTGGATTGTATAGAGCAAGAGGCAGCATAGGCTTTTTTCTTGAGATGTTTCAGGTGCTTGGAACCTGTCAATTTAGTGGATAGCACTATGCCTAAGTATTCAAACGAATCCTTGAATTCGATTTCTGTGTTGTTGAAAAATAATTGGTCGGTCCTGGCCAGCCTTCCGCCATTTCTGTGTTTCACCACCTTAATTTTGCCAACATTCACTTTGAGACTGTGTAACTTTTTTTTTCCACTTTTTGTCTCATTGAGATGTTGAATTCACATATTATTATTGTTATAGGGCCTATTCTTCTTAAGCCTCATATGTGACCGAAGTAGGCGACTGTTACATTAACTTTTTATCGCAAGTGTTTATGTGTAACTTTGTATCGAAAGTGATGCGAAGCTCAGGCTCGCCTCTGTGTGTAACTTTCTATTTCGTCAATTTTGCTATCTTAATTCAGAAATAATGTCTGCAGAAACCGAGGGAGAAGAAAAGGCCTTCAGCGCTGTAACGGAGCGAAACGAGGAATTAGAGGCTGGTGTAAATGAAGATGACGACGAAGAAGAAATTGAAGACATTTGCTCTCAAGTTGCTGACCTGCTAGCAGAAGCTGGAACTTCATCAGAAGCAAATGTTCGAGTCGATAGGTTAAGGAAAGCTAGTGCACTCATTCTGACTGGAGACGTTACGATGCTTGATAACTTCCTTGAAGAAATGATTGCTTTCAAAAGTGACAGAGCAGCTGAAGTAATTTCGTATATTGTGAACTATTATTACTGAGCAGTTCACATTAATAATTTTCAGACTGAGTTAATTTATGTGGACCTTGGATGGTTTTTAGGTGCGGAGGTTTGTTGCTGAGTTCATAGAGGACTCCACAAAAATTGACGTCAATCTGTTAACGACTTTCTTGCCCCTTGTGGCGTTGTTTCTTGGAGACACAAATTCGGGTACTAACCACATATAGTTTAAGAAAATACTTGTGGAATTCTGTTAACGTTGAATGGCTCCAAGAATTTGCTTGATTGATTCGAGTTTAATTTGGATGTCTTGCGAAATCGCATTACTGTATTAGACTCGCATTACTGTATTAAAACTTGGTTCGTCCCCTGTTATTACGAAAAAAGGTAGTTTATCTATTATAATGAAATTTCGGATCAATTGAGCAATCTCCGCCCCCCTCCCCATTCTCGTTTGGGGGGGCTAGATAGTCCAATAGGTACTTGAGACATGTTTATAACCACTTGGAAATAGTTTGAATGGTATAAACCAGATTCTCCAACGAATTTGGAACGCTAAAATTTGCAATATCAAAGCTCCAAAATTACATTCTCAGTGAAAAAGAATTAGTAAAACTGAGGCTAATAAAGTTACTTTTTTCTGTCCTAAAAGGAAAAAAGCTATTGCGTACATTATTAAGGTGCTGCGGTGAACAGTTTTTGATATTCAGATACAACGCTAGAGCATCAACCCTGGTAAAATGCTTTCCTCGATGAGGCAATGGTCCGCAAACAAAAGTTTGCAAAAAAATATTTTCTCTATTTCGATTTTCTCTTTTAAATTTTTTCTCGATACTCATATAAAATAATTTTCAGTCGGTCAATTGATTGCGTACTACGAACACATCAACCACCTACTTGCGTTTGCTGAAGTCTTTTTGTAGCGTTTTACCGTTTTTGATTGGGGGAGATTCCTCAATTGGTCATTATGGTGGGAGATTGATCCAAATTTTCAAGCATAAAGTTTTCAATTCTTTGTTAAGGAGTGATTAAGCGTGCCATTTTGTGCCATGCGCAGCTGTACAAGGTCACTTTGAGATGGATTGCTGGTATCAAGGGAACTGTTGACGAGAAAACGCGCATCATTTGGAACACTGTTGTCACAATGAAGGTATAGCATCAAATTCTAACGTTTTTTGCTGGAAGTAGTAATCAATTTTTTTTCTGACCAAATGGAATGAAATTGTTAGCCAGAATCTTCTATCAATTAGAATTGATTTTATTTTTCAACTCTTGTTAAATGTTTATTGGCCATGTTTCAGATTATTGTTCTTGCGATAAGCAAGGGTATTGCAATCGGGTACTAAGCTCTTTTCCCGTTATGGACTTTCTTCACAAGATTTCGCACGTTAAAATGTTACTCGTATTTCAAATTGCGTAAAATAAATTCCAAAGCAATTAACTGTTCAGAGCTTCTGGCTTAGAGGTAACCACCTGCTTGAGACGACAAAGGCTTGTAGTTCGAAACCGGCCGCGACCTGTTAGTTTTTTTTTGTAAACACTAAATTTTTTGCTTTTCAGGACTATTATCTGTCTGTTTAATGCTCATTTCTTAGCCTCAGTGGTGGAGTTTTAGAGTTACATGATTTTTTGTGCGGAATTTGAGTTTTTTAAATTATTTTAAGAAGATTTTTTAAAAAAAAAATTGTACAAAAGAAAAGTTATTTTTCTAGAATTTTTTTGCTCCGTTGATTAATTAGCAGGAATCACTGCGCATGACATTATTATGCTGGCATGTTTTTCATTAGCCCCCGCTCCTGATCAGTTCAGGACCAACAGTGGGGAGGGAAATGTCATCCATTTTGCCGCAGCCAGTCCCCTCTTGAGGAGGTATATGACACTGCACTGGGACCCACCAACCGTGAGCGAAGTGGGATTCGAACGCATGACCTTCGTGTTGAGAGAATTGTGCCTAAACCACTCGATTAGCATCTTTTGCCAAACAGACTTGATTATACACAACTTGTCCAACAAAATCACTGAATAATTTTTATCAAATCTGCAATTTCGTCCAACCAATAGACATATATTTTGAGCATGTTGGCTTGAGAAATACCCTTTCTATTTAATATTTGTTTCTTATTGAGAGTCACTGAACTTACAGAGGTCTAGAAGCTTTTTTTATTTGTTGTTTTTGCAGTCTTCGCACAAGCGAGCTTGTGAGCGTTAGCGTATTAGTACAAACCGTTTTTTTCATACATGACCCGCAATTAAATGTGTTCATTAGAAGTGCTAACTAATTTGGTCGCACTTTTGCGATACTCACGATCTGTAGCATAGGACATTTCATGGCGTCTGTTCTCAGCTTTATTCATGACTAGTGTTTGTGATTTATTAAGCGTCCGTGATTGTGTGAGTGTCATAATGTCTATGTTACAGATCAAATCCGAGACGTAGCCGAATTTTTACTATTTGGAGGCTTATTTCTAGTTTTTCCTTTTGCTCTTTATAGAGCAGCTTTTTGTCGTGTTCTCGCTAGTGTTTGCGACGCGAATCTTTGCCACTGTGTCGAAACTTGTTTTTTTCCTGAGTTATTTTTTTTCTTGATTTGTTACGCCTGCGATTAGCAAGCGTTATCAAACTGGAGTACAGACTTTTTTCAGGTTAGCAACTTGTGTAACAGACTCACTTGTATCTTGGTGCATAATGAATCCAAAGTTCTATCCTGGAGGTAACGAATATGCGTGGGGCAGCAAAGGTCCTGGGTTCTAATCCCGTTTTTTTTTCAAACGGAAACATTCTATTTCAAATAACAATTGTCGGTCAACTTTTTGTCTTGTTATCTGTTTTCGCCGTAGTTGTCACATTTGGAAACCGTTTTTTTGGTGCGCATTATTTTTTTGATGTTACTTTTAGTGTTTTCAGTTGCTTTTATTTACTCCTACAATTTATAATGTTTCTTACCTTGACTTCGTATCTCTTTTGTTTTTGTAGCGTTATCAAATCGGAGTGTAGACGTTTTCTTTTTCGGATTAACAACTAGTTTAATAAAATCAATTGCTCTCATGCTGATGGCTGCTGACAAGCTCAAATCCTGGTTGCAATGTTTATTACTGGGAAGGTTTTTAGAATTAAATTGACTTTTTATCGGCTCCATTAGTTTCGTCCCGGCTCCAACTTTTGTCGGCTTACTTGCCGGATATATTAAATTTTTTTAAATATTTTTTCTAAATTGCTTGCTTTTTAATAAATTCAAACTCAAGGTGAGTTTTTAAGGTTGAATCAAAACAACTGGTTGTGGGAAGTGCCACTGCATGATCAACTAAGCCCATTTTTTAACTCAAAAGTTAGGGCCGCCGGAAAGAACAAAAGTTTGATTTTTTAAAACATTTTTTGATTCGTTTTGATCTTTCTCGAAAACTGCCAGCACAAGTTTGAAATATTTGGTGTAATCCAAAGAACGGTTTGTTGGAAAGTTGACTGAGTTTTTGATTTTTTGACCGTTTTTTGAACTTTTTTGTTTCTTAAAAACTGCACTCCCAAATCGGAGTTTTTACGTTAAATCAAGACAACCTTATGTGGAAAGGGGCCCTGCATAATCAAGTACGCTCACTGTTTTCTGACACAAATTTTAGGGCGCTCGGAAAAAAACAATAATTATTTTGTTTCCCGTTTTTTGAAACTAATTGACTTTTATCGAAAACTACCCTCTCTAATATGAGTTTTTGCGTTCAATTGAAATAACAGGTTGTGTGAATCTCTTCTGTATTAGCGGCTATGGTTCTCGAAAAAGTTAAATTTTTGACCATTTTTTGGAAACTATTTTTACTATTCCCGAAAACTACTCTGCCAATTTTTATTAGGTTTGTTTGGTCAATCGAGACAAAGTTAAATTTATCAAAAACACTTAAAAAGTTATCAAAAAACACCTACCTCCAGCTTTAGTTTGGCCCCTAGTTATCTTTTATTGAGACATACAAAGCCTTTTGCTTCTTGTTTTTTTTCAAAATTTAATTTTTTTTTGTGCTGGATCGTAAGTGGTGCGAAGCTCCGCTTCCCCTTTGTGCTGAAATTTTTGTTTTTCATAATGGAAAACTATTTCCAAGTTCTTGGAAAAATTTAAGTTTTTCTCAGAAACTTCTAGTGATTTTTAAAATTAGGTATCAATTGAAGGACCTCCTACTCCCCTGTAAGCCTGTATAATCCCCTAGAGTCTCTTATTACTTGACCCCTCTGTCCACAGCCTTTGAAAAAGTCTAAGGTCCCCCTTTTTTTGTTTTCTTGATAAATACCCTCTCAAACCTGAGTTATGGTTTCAACGCATGCAACGGTTTGGAAAAGCTCCCTGCATGAGCGGCTACGCCCAATTTTTTTTTACACTTAAATTTACGGCCCTCAGAATAGTCAAATTTTTAATTTTTGACCTTTTTTTAGTTTTTTTTTGAGTATTTTGGAAAACTACCCTGTCATATTATACATTTTGGGTTCATTTCAAAAAACGAGTTGTGGGAAGCTAATTTGCTTATGCGACTACTCCAAATTTTTTCTAATACCAAAAGTTATGGACCTCTGAAAAGTCAAAAATTGGTTTGGATAATCCTTTCTGCTTTTGAATTTGAACAATCAAATTTGAGATGAAAAGTTTAATTGAAAAAACCGGTTGCGAAAATCAAATTAATCGTGCCGCATGAGTATAGCAAATTCATTCAAGATCAAACACATACCTCCAGCTTTAACTGGGACCCTAGTTGTTTTAATCTAGACTTACGAAAGTTTTGCTTCACCTAGTTTTTTTTTTCAACATTAAAAAAAATTTTCCGGCTTATGTTTTTTGTATGTTGTATTGCAGGTGGGCGAAGCTCCGCTTTGCCTCTATTTTAAAGCTTACTTTTGTCCTTTTTGGCTTGTGGTTGCGAAGTGCAGCTTCGCCTCTGCGTTTGAAAGATTCGACCGATACATATAATTAGCTGATGTATCCTGCCAAATGTTATAGTGAACTGAACTATTGGCTTTAGGACCAGATCTTTCGGCTGTTGGAGTCAACCAACCAGGGTATTCGAAGCCACGTGATCAAGTTCATGGAGCACATTGCCCTTTCTCTCTCACACAAGAGTCCGGACTCGGAGGCGTGTAGGGCCAATGACCTAGATGTATCTCTGGATCTCATCAAGTGAGTCGTTAATCCTTACCTCTGCTTGATGGGACTGTTGAAGGCCGAAATTTGAACCGTTTAGTGGCAGATTGTACTGTATAATGCAATGGCGATTGTCGTAAAAATTGAAAAATTGCCATAAGATGCCGCTCAGTGAATGATTTTAATGCTTTTTTAACGGCAGCGATCAGGTTGCTTAACATGTTTTCCTCAAAGTGAATATTAGTCCTGACACTAAAAAGAAATAGTGTCAAACCGCGAAAAAGTAAATTTGAGCCTGAACAACTGAAGACTTCCTGAAAAAAAAACAGAAATCATCGCGACCTATTTAAGAGTCTAAACTACGTTCATTGACTCTTTACACTTGCGAAGCAAAGTGTATTGTATTAGTATGAATTTTCTTGTTTTTTCCCAACCTGAGTCGCAAATAAAAGTGCTACTTTTGGTGGCACTTTTGAATCGATAGTCTGCGGTAGCAGTATAATATCATATGTGCTTTGACATTTGGATAGTAAAAAGTTAATAAGTTAGAAGAAAAAAATATTAATTCATCAAATGAACCGAAAAAAGTCATTTGTTTCAAACAGCAGTAAAATGATGAAAAGGTCGATTTCAGAGAATTTTCAACTCAATGTATCTCGCAAGTTGTTAGAAATTCAAAATTTATACATAGTTTGGCTTTATGCTTTCCATGTTATTGCATGCAAAAGTGTATCTTTTGGTATTTGGTGCTACTTTTGCTGGATGGAATCGGCAATATTTAGCATATGTAGCTGCGTTATTGGTGGCTAGTTTTTGGGGGTTTTTAGGCATCCGTGGCTGAGTGGTTAGTGCGTGAGACTCAAATTTGCTAGGTCGCAGATTCGAATCCGAAACGTAGCCGAGTTTTTGCTAATTCGAGGTTTATTTCTACTTTTTCTTATTTCACATGATAGAGTTGCTTTGTAGTCGTGTTCTCGCTAGCGTTGGCGAAGCGCAGCTTCCCCTCTGTGTAAACACTTGAATCTACTATTAAAGTTGATAACAGCACTATAAATTCCCTAATGTGGCAAATAAGCCGACAAAACATAAGCAGACAAACGAAAGTCCGATAATTCAATTTTTCCCGAACATTTCTTTCTTTATCAAACACAAAATGAGACGTAAGTCGCTCAGTCAAAACTACATCTACAAAAACTTGAGTGGCTGAAGTATCGTTTTCTATTTGATAGCTTACAATACAATGTTTTTGTTATATAGCTCTGCTTCGAGTCTCTACCGGACCTTGTTTTTTTCTGGATGTATGTATGAAAAAGAAAGAAATGTTCGGGAAAAATTGAATTGCTGGACTTTCGTTAGTCTGCTTATGTTTTGTTTTATTTGCCACCTCGGGGATTTTTCTTGTGCTGATATCAATTTTTATTATAGATTCAAGTGTTTAAGAGTCAATGAACGTAGTTTAGACTTTTATATAGGTCACGATGATTTCTGTGTTTTTTCTTCAGAAAGTCTTAAATTTTTCAGGCTCAAATTTACTTTTTCGCGATTTGACTTATTATTTCTTTTTAAGTTTAGTTTATTTCCTTTTTTGTTAAAAAGAAGGCAGACTCCACTATCGAACAGCAAAAGTGTAAAGTAACCAAAAACGTGCTCGTTTTCTAGTTTCCAACATGGAATTAAGTTTTCAGATTTCCCAGAGAAATAACAATTTTACTTATTGATCCACTTTTCTCAAATTGGGTTAATTTTATCGAAAAAGAACTAATCATAAACTAGTCTACAAATTCAAAGCACTCTAAGGTTATCCCAATTTTTTTGGCGAAATTCAAAAGCTACGATTTTTTGAAAAAAACCTTTTTTTTTGGTGACTTGCGTTCATTGACAGTGAAATTTACAGCCCTGACGTTTATTTTCCTTGATTTTCCTCGACTTTTTTTTTAATAAATTAAAAGCTTTTTTTCCGCCTTTAATAGTTTCGGTTTGTGTTTAATTGGCATAGTCACCTCATTTTGTCAACAAATGATTGCAATTTTTTGGCAAAAATTGATTGATTTTTTGAAATTCAAGTAATTTGTTGCTAGATTTCCTCAGTCTTTTTTAATTACACAGTTTATGCTTTTTTTTCTTGCTGATCATTGATTGTCTACCCACTTGTCGTTGGCTAGTACCAGCTCTGTTACTACTAAAAGCCTAATTAATACTGTTAGTTGGGTATTTCGATTTTTTTTCCAAAATTACTTTCTTCAAATTTTTTTTATACATGATTTTGTTATTTCCGTCTGTTTTTATTCGCTAGCTTGCAATGCAAGTTTTCAAACCATCTCTGCATACAACTCTGCCTCTGTTTAAAACTGTATCTGATTTTTTCCTCAAATTTTTTGTTGCTGTTGTGACCGATGTGAGGAGATGGTTTGAAAGTTTTTTGAAATGGTTAGTTATGCTTCAAAAATAAGACTAAAAGTCAAAATCGAAGTTGTACTCGACATAGAAAACTTCTTGCTAAATTTTAAAATATAATTCAAAGCGCTAGAAATATGATGTATCACTCAACCCTATTGGACGCTTAGCTGGTTGCACCTGATTTCGCGTGGAAAATTGATAAAAAACTAAAAGACACCCGAAGACCAAATTTCTTTCCTTTTACAGTGGTAGTACCAAAAAAGTTATGAAGTTTTCTTAAGCTTGCGCTTAGCAAGTGTTATAAAATTGGAATATAGACTTGTAAAATAACATAATCACGTCATATCACTCGACCAGCAGCTCTTTTTCTGAGCATTTTTCTATTTTAAACTCATTTTCTATTCCGAATTTGTTTTTTTTTCTATGTTGGTTATAAATTTTTTAACATAGATTTTACTATTTACTATAAAGAAAGTTACCACTCACTGACATTGCATAAGCAACTACACAATGCTTGAAGTTTTCTCCATATTCAGGTCCAATCACTCGTACCTGAGGTACTCCGACTTGAAACTGGAGGGATCCAAAATCATCCAGGTGTTCCTGACTCTAGCCACTTCCCCGCAAGTGAGTTGCAGCAACCTGCTGGTGGCAGTGAACTCATTGGTGTCCATTGCGAGGCAGAGACCTCTCTACTTGTCTCCTGTCATTCAGAGTCTGGAAAGTGTCCATGTGAATCTACCGCCGACTTTGTCCAAGGCACAGGTGAGTCATAGTTTCAGACAATAAAATACAAAAACCCGTTTGGAAGAATCTCAAATTATACAGCGATTTCTTCAATTACGAGTTTTCAATGATATTGCGTCAAAATTAAAGCTTGTTAAGGTTTCTTTGCATCACATGTTGACTCGAATAGGTTCGGTAGTTTTTTTTTTAATTAATTTACAGCAATACCTAGAGCTGAATTCAACGATTTTAAAGCGCGTTGACACATAGAACATTTGTTTTTCATTGATGTGAATATTGAAATGGTGGTTGTTTTCAGGTGTCTAGTGTGCGTAAGAACCTGAAACTGCAACTGAGTCAGATTGTGAAACACGCGGCAGTGGCACCCTTCATCTCTCAGATCTCGACTCTGTTGACGGACTTGGGAGCTACTCACAGTGAGCTTAACAAGATGATTCCGAAGGCCATCCGAGAACAGGCTGCTAAAATGAAGAAGGAAAAGGAGGAACAGCAGCTGATAAAACCAACCAGCAAAAAGGTTTGCATAGTGAAAATAGTGAATAGGAAAATTGGTATTAATAAGGTATTTGATACCCTGTGGCGTGAGCAAAAAGTTGTCTGGGGGTAAGGGGGAATTGTTTTCTCGGTTGGCCAATTTGATTTTCCGAGCGCTCCAAAAATACTATGACGACCCTATTTGTTTGAAAAAAAACAGGCTTAAAATGACGTTTTCAGAACTTTTTAAAAAATTTGACCAAAAATTGCCGTTTTTTCGGCGCGCCCTCACCGGCAAATTTAGTTTATTGGCGCCAAAGGCGCCTTTATAAAAATTTTGAGATTGGCCAGGCAGAAATGGATGTCGTAAACTTATACCAAAGATGGGACCCTTAGGAAAAGTTTGGCAACCAGAATTGAGGGGGGGAATAATTCCTGTTCATAAAGACAATTCCCGATTAGATGACAATAATTACCGGCCAATCTCTTTACTTATTGTATGGAGCAAGGTATACGAAAGAACAATGTATAATTGAATCTACGCATACATGGAAAAATTCGCTTTGTTGTATAGCAAGCAATTTGGGTTCAGATCAAAACATAGCACAATAGAAGCAGTTGTTGAGCTAACTGAAAAAATAAGACTTAAAAACTCGTTTAAGGAGGCTTATAGTTTTTTCCTTGATTTAAGAAAAGCTTTTGATACTCTTGATCATGAAATACTTCTGACGAAACTTGATGCATATGACATTGGAGGCAATTGCTTAAAATGGTTTAGGTCCTACCTCAACGATCGTCAACAACGAGTTGAAGTAAATGGTGTTTCTTCAGATTGGAAAAAAATAAAATGCGGCGTCCCACAAGGATCGATTTTAGGACCGTTGCTTGTCCTTATATACATTAATGATTTGCCCGTGACATGCAAAACAGCAGAAGTAATTTTATTTGCAGATGACACCAATATAACTGCTATAGGCTGCCAGATTATAGATATTAAAGATGATCTTTGTCATCTTGACCATTGGTTACATGAAAATAAGCTAATTATAAATAATGATAAGACAATACAAATAAACATAAAAAGTGCTTCCAATTCAAAATTCACACTTAATTGCTCAGAGGTGATTAATAAACCTGTTTGTAAATATCTAGGTTTATATATTGACTATAAATTATCATTTCGAAGTCATATCGATTCGGTGAAAATGAGACTCGGAAAACAATGCGGGATTTTATCGAAACTAAGACATTATGCGCCACGAAACCAATTGCTTGAATACTATAGAAGTAATGTGGTTCCTATCATTCAATACGGAATTTTGATATACGGTTGTTGTAGCTACAGTTCGCTTGAATGTTTATTTCTACTGCAAAAGAAAATTCTTAAATTCATCTATTTTCGAAAGCGTAGCGATAGTTCTCGTGATATTTTTCTAGAGAATAAATTCTTATCGGTGTTTGAAATTCATGTTTACGAACTACTCAAGTTCGTGCTTCGTGCTGTCACAAAGTCTCTATCTCAAAGTTTTTTAAACAATCTGTTCTCCTTTGAAAAGAAAACAAGGGCCACGAGACTGTCGAAATCAAAACTATTAGCTGAACCCATATGTAAGAAAAAAATCGATCGGTTTTCCATTCAATATCGTGCTACCAAGCTTTTCAACCTTCTCACAGCGCAAAAGTTAATCCCCGAGGATATTGGAAGATATTCGAAAACAGAATTTGTAACATTTTATCATACATTTAAAACTGTATTTTTATTGCAAAATGAAGAGTTAATCGATTACATATTCAAATTATAAAAAGAAAAAATTTTTTGAACCCGTGGTTACATGCTGACGGGGGTGTATCTTAGGGTTGAGGTTCTAACGCTAAAATTTGACCTTCCAGAAACTCTTAGTTTAGGAGATATGGACGATTTTACGATTTTTAAAAAAAATACTCAAAAACTTAGAAAAAAAAAATTTCAAATTATAAAAAGAAAATTTATTGAACCCGTAGTTGCATGCTAAAAGTTGACCTAACAGAATTTCCTAGCTTAGGGGAGATATGGACGATTTGCGATTTAAAAAAAAATTCAAAAAAAATCTAATTTTAAATTTTTGTTTTTCTTTTCTTTTTTACCGGCGGTTGCCTGCTTACGTAGGTATAATATAGGCTTCTGATTAGAATTGCAATACTTGACCGTCCAAATGCTCGTAGCTTAGGAGATATGGACGATTTTACGTTTTAAAAAAAATTTAAAAAAATCTAAATTTATGTTTTTTTTTCTTTTTACCCGCGGTTGGCTGCTAACGAAGGTATAATATAGGCTTCGGATTAAAATGACAATACTTGACCGTCCAAATGCTCGTAGCTAAGGAGATATGGATGAAATTACAAATTTTCAACAAATTCAAAAAACATTCAAAAAAAATCTTTTCCTGATAGTGAAAGAAGCATGCATAGCTAGGGTAGGCGTTTGTGTGCCATATGGCCCCGTTGTCTATTCTCTCCGAGTCTCATTTTAATAATTACTTATAACGATGAATTGCCAAATTTATGTAATGAATGACCGGAGAAATTTATTCTTTCTTTCTTTCCCCCTCTTGGCACGCTAATTTTGATACCAATGAACCAAATATCAGGCATTGAATAATCATATAGATGCCATGAAATTTGAATTGTCAAGTTTTTTTTTGATACTAACGAAACAAGCGAAGCGTAGTGTGTTATTACGAAGAATTTTTTTCAACCTAAGTCTCAAATAAAAGTGCTCCTTGGTGGCACTTTTGGTATATTTCAATTTAATCATATTTAGCCTATTTAAGCATAGGCAATTCAATAGCATATGTTGCGGCTTTATTTTTGGCTAGTCTAAGATTCTGTTGAAAACAACAGGTATTATGAGAATGCATGGGATTTGGTGCCATTCCCTGCCAACATGGTTCTCAAATGACCACAAAACCACGAACAAAATAGACTACCTATTGATAGCTTGTAGTTGGCGCTCTTCTGATCTGGACTGCTCCACCCGCCCTGGCAGATTCTGATCACAAGCAGTCCGTTAGATCTACCATCAAGCTTAGGTTAAAATCCTACAGAAAGAGAGCAGAAACACCAAACTACAACATCACAGCTCTTCGCTCTGAAAAATGTATCAAATACCAAGAGGAATTGAAGAAACTGAGCAGAATGAGTCCAATCACTGAAAAACTAAGCATCGAACAAGCGTGGGAACAACTGAAAACAACGTGCATAAAGCTGCTGAATCAACCATTGGTCTTTTCCTGAAAAAACCGAGCCCCTGGTTCTCCGCAGAGACAAAAGAACTCATCAACCGTAGAGCAACGGCAGAAAACAGAAGGCCAAGCTCCAAAACGAAGTTAAACAGAGTGTGCAGAAAGATAAAAACCAGTACTATGAGAACCTTGCAAACGACCTAATTTCTGCTGATGAGAAAGGAAACACAAGGAAAGTCTACAGCATAGTGAAACAGCTGTCCAGGTCTTCAGAGCCACTGAGTGAAAACCTGAAAACAAATGAAGGAACCTCGATCACGGACACGAAAGAATTCATGGAAGAATGGGCCAAACACTTCGAACAACTTCTTAACCGCCATACCTCGGAACCAGACGAACCCAGAAGAGACGCACAATCCGTTCTCCACTGTTAATGCAGAACGCCCCTGCTACTGTGAGATTGAACTAGCCATAGACAAACTAAAGCGCAACAAAGCTCGCGGTAAAGATGGTTTTCCAGCTGAACTCTTGAAACACGTTGGAATAATGTTGGTAGGGCAGTTTACTAATTAAGTCAGGATAGTGAAAAAGTTCCCAGGAGAATGGAAAGTTGCTAAAATTACACTTATCTCCAAAAAAGGCGACTTGTGATATGGCTAACGAGGCATATCTCTCCTATCCATATCCTTCAAGATACTAGATGCAGTGGTTAAAAATAGGATCGAAAGTACATACGAGAGGACCGCAAGAAAGAACCAAGCCGGCTTCAAAGCAAACAGAGGCTATCGTGATCAAATGTTCGCTCTCCGATAAATCCTCGCACAAAGAAAAAAGTACGAAAGAGTGACAAACATGATCTTCATAGACTTCAAAGCTGCCTTCGACGGTGTGGATAGAAATTGCATCTGGAACGTTTGTAGTAATCTTGGATTAAATAAGATTTAATGGATCACTAAAGGGCATGTACACGGAGACGCTCAGCAAGGTGAAAAATTACACTGTTCCAAATCCACAGCGGAGTATGTCAAGGTTCAATACTTTCTCTCTTTCTATTAAACCTGGCTATCGACTGGTCTATGTCCGGGGCCCTGGATGGTGCAAACCTGGGTGTAGGCCTGGACGACATGCACGTTGCATACCTAGATTTTTCAGACATTATCTGTCGACTTGATGACAACAAGAATGATGCCTAAGCGCCTCTGGACAAAGTGACCCCCCAAGCAGCAAAGAACGGCCTCCATAAAAAAAATCGCAAAAACAAAATTTTGCTCAAACGGCGAAAACCCCATATTCACAATGACAGACGAACCGATCGAAAAAGTAGACGCAATCACCTATATTGGAAGCTCCCTACAGCTTAACGGCGACATCACATGCGAAGTGGAAAAAAATTTGGAAAAGGTCGCTGAATTTTCAGTCGCCTCAAAAACTTCTGGAGCCAACTAAAAAACCGGAGAAAATCAAGCGCAAAGTCCACAGTGCCTGTGTTGGAAGCACGCTTCTCTACGACAGTAAAGCCTGGCCCGTTAAAATCTTACATTTGTGGAGACTGGGTGTGTTTGAGAAAAAGTGCCTCAGAAAAAATTTACACCGAGGATTCGACCTGCATAAAGATCTCCTCAGAGAAAAGGCCAACCTGAAAAAGAATATCTGCCAAATCATTCAACCAGGATGACTTAAATGGCTGGGCTCTGTCCTCCGGATGGACCCGAGCGAGATCCCGAACGCAGTCCTCGAGTTGTCGAAGGTGAACACTGGAAGCGCCCATCTGGCGGACCTAAGAAGTCCTATAGAAAGCTGGTGCAGGATGACACAATTAAATTCATCAAGTCCCCAGAATGCACTGGAAAAATAGGATTTAGTGACATTCCCTGCCAACATGGTTCTGAATTGATCACAAAACCAGGAACAAAATAGACTACCTATTGATAGCTTGTAGATGGGGCTTTCCTGATCTGGACTGCTCCACCCGCAAACCCGCCCTGGCAGATTCCGATCACAAGCACTCCGTAAGATCTACCATCAAGCTTAGGTTAAAATCCTACACAAAGAGAGCAGAAACGCCAAACTACAACCTTACGCTCTGAAAAATGTATCAAATACCAAGAGGAATTGAAGAAACTGAGTCCAATCACTAAAAAACTAAGCATCGAACAAGCGTGGGAACAACTGAAAAACAAGTTACACCAAGCTGTGGCATCATCCATTGACCGTTCCCTGAAAAAATCGAGCGCCTGGCTATCCGCAGAGACAATAGAACTCATCAACCATAGAGCAACGGCAGAAAACAGAAGGCCAAGCTCCAAAACGAAGTTAAACAGTATGCGGAAAGATAAAAACCAATACTAAGAGAACCTTGCAAACGACCTAATTTCTGCTGATGAGAAAGGAAATACAAGGAAAATCTACAGCATAGTGAAACAGTTGTCCGGGTCTTCAAACCCACTAAGTGAAAACCTGAAAACAAATGGAATCACGATCACGGGCACAAAAGAATTCATGGAAGAATGGGCCAAACACTTCGAACAACTTCTTAACCGCCCTACCCCTGAACCAGACGAACCCAAAGAAGAGACGCACAAGCCGTTCTCCACTGTTGATGCAAAATGCCCCTGGTACTATGAGATTGAACTGGCCATAGACAAACTAAAGCTCAACAAAGCTCGCGGTAATGATGGCATTCCAGCTGAACTCCTGAAACACGTTGGAATAATGTTGGTACAGGAGTTTACTAATTAAGTCAGGATAGTGGAAAAATTCCCAGAAGAATGGAAAGTAGCTATAATTACACCAATCTTCAAAAAAGGCGACTTGTGCTTACTAAGGAGGCATATCTCTCCTGTGGATATCCTTCAAGATACTACTGGCAGTGGTTAAAAATAGGATCGAAAGTGCATACGAGAGGACAGCAAGAAAGAATCAAGCCGGCTTCAAAGCAAACAGAGGCTATGGTGATCAAACTTTTGCTCTCCGATAAATCCTCGAGCGAAGGGAAAGTACGAAAGAGTGACAAAAATGATCTTCATAGACTTCAAAGCTGCCTTCGACGGTGTGGATAGAAGTTGCATCTGGAACGTTTGTAGTAATCTTGGTTTAAATAAGATTTAATGGATCACTAAAGGGCATCTACACGGAGACGCTCAGCAAGGTGAAAAGATACGTTTGTTCTAAATCCACAGCGGAGTATATCAAGGTTCAATACTTTCTCTCTTACTATTAAACCTGGCTATCGACTGGTCTGTCCAGGGCCCTGGATGGTGCAAACCTGGGTGTAGGCCTGGACGACATGCACGTTGCAAACCTAGACTTTTCAGACATTATCTGTCTACTTGATGACAACAAGAATGATCCCTAAGCGCCTCTGGACAAAGTGGCCTCCGAAGTAGCAAAGACCGGCCTCCATATAAACATCGCAAAAACAAGATTTTGTTCCAACAGCGAAAACCCCATGTTCAGAGTGACAAACGAACTGATCGGAAAAGTAGACGCAATCACCTATCTTGGAATTTCCCTACAGCTTAACGACGACATCACATGCGAAATAGAAAAAATTGGAAAAGGGCGCTGAATTTTCAGTACCTTCAAAAATTTTGGAGCCAACGAAAAATACCAGAGAAAATTAAGTGCAAAGTCTGCAGTGCCTGTGTTGGAAGCGCGCATCTCTACGACAGTGAAGCCTGGCCCTTCAAAATCATGGATTTGTGGAGACTGGGTGGGTTTGAGAAAGTGTATAGAAAAATTTTACACCGAGGATTCGACCTGCATAAAGATCTCCGCAGAGAAAAGGCCAACCTGAAAAAGAATATCTGCTAAACCATTCAACCAGGATGACTTAAATGGCTGTGCTATGTCCTCCGGATGGACCAGAGCGAGATCTCGAACGCAGCCCTTAGGTTGTCATAGGTGAACACTGGAAGCGTCCATCTGGCAAATCTAAGAAGGCCTGGAGAAAGCTTGTGCAGAATGACACAATTAAATTCATCAAGCCCCCCGGAATGCACTGGAAAAAATAGGAAACAGTGGTTCGATTTATGAAAGAAGTTGCCGTGGACCGAAAGCGACCGATAGCTTTGGTTCGCGATATCGTCATGACAGACAGCGGGCAGCAGTGCCTCTAACACCGTACTTGGATTTGGATGGAATTTGTTGTTTTTTGTTGTTTTTTTTGCGGCGCTTTGGAAAATTTTTGTATTTTTCGATGAAATTTCATTCTCTCTGAAAAACTGCTGTACCGTTTTTGGGAAAAATAATATCAATGGACAACTTGCGGCTCTTTTTTGTGCCTGCATATTTTGCTAGTCTCTCTTCATTTCACCCCCACGTCTCTTCATTTCACCGAAAGTTTCGGAAGGAGGATTTTTGGACTACTTTTTTCATTTTCTCAAATATTAAATGCGCAAATCTGAGAACATGAGGATGAGAACAAAAGAACAATCATGAGAATATCCTTCTCAGGCTACTGTTCCCTAAATTCGGTAGCAAAAAGTTATAGCCTGAAACAAGTCCATTTTTTGACATATTTGTTAATTTTTGAAACTTTGACTTTTCTCAAAAACTACGCAGTCAAATCGGAGATGAAGGGTGGAACCGAGAGAAAATAAAACCAATCATGCTAATCTTTTATGTGCAATCGGCTATGCCGTGTGTTTTCAAAAAAAATATGGCCGTAGAAAATGTCCAATTTTTGAAGTTTTGATCTTTTCAATCAAACTAACATGGTGCTTATATATTTCCCTGTGTAATCTGTTTCAATCTATTTTTTTAGAGAAGCCAATATGAACATCGCACAAATCCATTTTTTGAAATTTCTTGACATTTTTTTTTGTAGAAATTCACGAAAACTACTAGCTAAGTCTGATATTAAGGTTTCAATCTAAAAATCAGTCTTCACTGCATACGATGCTATTACCATGCTTTTTAGGGAAAAGTAAATGAATTTAGGAAAAATAAATGGATTTAGGAAAAGTCTAATTTCACAATCTTTGATCGTTTCTTGGTATCTTTTTAAACTTTTTTCTCAAATTACCCAGCCAAATCAGAGATAAAGATATCAATTGAAAAAGCGAGTAGTAGTTGAAAAAGCGGCTAATCACCAACTCAAGAAGTGAAATCACTAGTGTTTTGCGTAATTTTTTGAAACTTTGAAAATACGCATTTCGTTATCAGTACAATCAAATATTAAAACAGGTGCATCCAGCATTAGCTAGGCCACTTGCTTACCTCCAAGGGACCGTGGCTTAAATAGGACGTCAGACTCCTAATCAACTAGTGGGATATTCAAATCCGGAGCATTAAATTACTTTTTGTTCGAATTTTTGCTGCATACATAGCATTGGTAATTTGATTTAAAAAAACTGCGGCTGCTTTATTGGTGGCTAGTGTAAGTAAAATTACAAGCGTTCATGGAGCAGATGTGAGAATGTATTACTCCTTATCTCTGCAAAATTTTTTCCCAATGTGTATTTTTAATCTTTAAAGAGTACTGAACGTAGTGAAGACTCTTGTATAGGTCTTATTGATTTTTTTTCAGGAAAAGTCTTAAAATGCTCCAATAACTACAGATGTGCATCCATAGATATTAAGGCATTTATGAATGCACTTAGGTATAAATGCACTTTTTGAGTTCAATTGAAATTCATCTGCTGAAAGTTACGTAATTAGCACTCTCCAAATACCAACGTAATGGCGCGAAAAACGTGAAACATACGGAAATTTTCCCGGGAAATGGCGCGAAAAAAAGTGAAATTCAAAAGGTGAGATTTTTCAACGAAGTATGCTTTTTTTTCTGTTTTCTTGCCTTCATTACTCATTACCGACTGTCTGGTGGCAAGTTTCCTTTTTTTCTGATTTCATTTTGTTTTGTCTGTTCAGAGCTCGTTTTTGCATTTTCCTCGCTTGTGTTTGCGAAACGCAGTTTCGTCTCTGTGTGAATAATCATATAGATGCGAAAACTGAACTATTTGAGTGTTACTACGGCGTTCTTTTTTGGTCACCATCATCAATTCCCAGAAAGTATTGAAAAGTTGTGAAAATATGTCTTTTTGTAGACTCGGCTTGATGAAGAGAGTTTCGCCTCGTCGGCAGGTGCTGAGCTGGAGCAGAACAAGAAAGTAGCCGCAATTGAGATCACCACAGAATTCATCATGCCCAGACTGAAGCGCCCAGAAACAGTTGCTAATATTGTGTTAGTGTCCATGCTGAATCTCCCAGACGCCATTCCGGCTCACTTTCAGTCCACTTACACGCCTATAGACAGTGCGGGGACTCCGGCGCAGATTGAACACGTGGCGAGGTTGATAGCTACGCAAATGACAGCTGTTGGAGTTGGCGCAGGTAGTGAAGTCTGAAAATATGCGAATATCTGAATTAGGTTGACCTGTCTCCTGTTACTAACTATTTAGATATATTCAATTATGATTTGCAATCGTTGTCCTATGGGTCTACAATACAGAGTGCTTTTAAGCTTTCCTGTGGGAGAGGATCTATATGTTTTAAATCGAAAGTATCACAATTTTGGATGTTCTCAGGAGTGGAGCAAATTGCAAAGGAAGAGTCAAAGTTAGCGGAAGCTAAGAAGACTAGGGAGTCCAAGCAGTCCTCGTCTGCTCAAGAAAAAGGATCTCCGGTCGAAGTTTTATCGTCGCGAATGCACCACGCCACCCCAGCTAGAGGAGAAGAAGGATCGAAGCCCTCGGAAAGCGAAACAGCTGCCGGAGCTTCAAAATCGGCTAGCCAAGAAACGAAGCAAACTTTGTTCACTCCTGAAACCCTCGCGGCTAACTTGCAAATGCGGGATCCAACCAAACGCAACGTGAAAGCGTTCAACTTTAGAGAAGCTACGGTTGCTATTCCTCATGATCAGTTAGACGCCTTTGCAAAAAATAGCTTGAAAAGAATTCTGTATGCTGAGAAGAAAATAAAGCAATGCGGAGCGACGGCGGAACGTTTCAGAGTCTTAACAAATCTGGCAATAATGCATGATGACTCGGGCTTTGACGATGAAGTGGAAAATTATGTTCTAGACGAGCTAAAAGCGCGCTACGAATTGATAATATCGTGGTTGTATCAGCTCTACAACAAGATGCAAAGAACATCTGAAAAGTCAGTTAACAAAGTTTTCCTAGCCCAATATGAAAAACTGTTTATGAGGGTCATGAAACACGTAATGCAAAATCCGGAGAAAGATGGAATTTTCCTGACTAAACTTTTCATTGAGGCCCCAATTTTGACGAATCCCGTCTTTTCGACTTTGTCTCGATTTTGTACTATAGACGAAAGTGTTTCGCTGTGCATTTCGACTTTGAGTGAGGTTGTTTTGAAGCGAAGTTCACACATGAAAGTAGCTCTGAATTACTTGTTGCTGCTGACGACTTTGGACCACCAAAAAGCAAGAAGCGAAGCGTTGAAATTGTTAATTCAGCTCTACACCAAAGATACATCTGACCAGTACAAGAGTACAATTGAGAATTTTGCCACCGTGAGTTATATTTTATTTTGTATTTATTTCGGTTCTTACAAAGGTATTGCATTTGATTAACACTTATGCCAATTAATAAATTTTTCTCGGGATATATCCTCTGGTTCTTTTGCTTTCTCTTCTAAGGGTTTCGATAATTTCAAAGCATCTGCTAAAAACTGTTTGTCAAGATGACTATCATAAAACTGACTTTTGTTTATAATACACTGAATATTTACAAAAAATTTAAGATGTTTGTTTGTTTTTCCTGTTTTTGTCAGTTTTTATTTGCCTACGAAGTTGTGCAACCACTTTTTTCAATTTCGTAAACCGGTTTAACTAAAAAAGGATTTATGTTTATGTGTTATCTACACAATTTGTTAGCTTTTATTTTGAGCTCGATATTGTTTGGCTTAGTCGACGACTTGCTTCTTTTCCAATCCAGCGCGCAAATAACATTGCTCAACTGATGGCTATTTTGCTGCATGATTTGCAATTTAGTTGAATCCGTTCTCTGGTTTATTGGTGGCTAGTGTTGTTCCATTGTCAACCAACCATGGTGGAGATGCATGGACTCAAGGTTCATAATCTACAGCTCGGTGGTTCTATTCCAATAAAAAGCAAAAGTTTGTTTTTCAAGGCTTATCTTAATCTTTCAAGGCTTTATTGGTGGCTAGTTTGCGCCAATCGTCAAGCGACGGCGGCGGGCGCAGATGTGATGACACGAGAATCATTATCTACAAGACAGTGGTTTGATTCCGGAACATAAAAAAGTTACATTTTCAAGGCTAATTCACACTAGCGAGCGTAGTGTATGAATATAACTATACTTTTTTCCATTCTAACTCGCAAATAAAAGTGCTAATTTGCTATAATCACGATCTGTAACATTGGAAATTTCATAGAGCATCTGTTCTCTGCTTTATTTGTGACTAGTGTTTGACGGTTGTTAAGTGTCTGTGGCTGAGAGGGAAGAACGAGAGACTCCAAATCTAGAGTTCGCTGGTTCACATCCTACACATAGCGAAAGTTTTACTAATTCGAGGCTTGTTTCCACTTTTTTATTTCACTTAATAGAGTTGTTTTTTGTGATCGTTTTTTCGCTTGTGTTTTCCCTATTCCTGAGTCAATGAACGTATTGAAGACTCGATTTTGTCTCCATGTTTGATTTTTCGCGGTTTGACTTTTGATTTTTTTCAAGTTCAGTTTTTTCCTCTGTTAAAGGGAAGTCAAAATTCACTATCGAAATGCAAATTGTAAAGGCCCGTTAAACGTGATCGAATTTAGTTTTTTGACATTCCAGCGGAATTAAAATAATACTTATTGATCCAATTTTCTCTGTGTGGGTTAACTTAAAGAAAAAATGCCACTCGAACTTTTCTTGAAATTCAAAGAGCTTGAACGTGATATACTTTTAGCTTTCGAAAGTTGAAAATTAATTTTTAAATTTTGATTTTTTCCCGGTTTTATAGAGTTTTTGTACACTTATCCTATTAGCCAGGCTTGATTTTTTAACCTCCATAATAGGTTTTAATTTTCAGGTATCGCAATGAAAAAAAAATTGCCTGTTGATCCAGGTTTTTGATTATGGGTCAGTTTCATCAAAAAGCATCATATATAACTCACTCTTGAAATTCATAGAACTATTTGGCTACTACCTTTTCGTTTTTTTATCTCGTTGATCTTTATCCAAATGTATGTTAGCTAAGTTTTGTTTTGTTTTTGTGTAGATGCGTATGGAAAGTGTGATGGAGAGTAATCCGCCCTATGACCTGTTAGACAAGAGTGGGAGGGCATACAGTGCGTGGTGTGAGGAGGCCATCAAACAGTGTCTCTTCCTCTACCTGGGACTCCTCCCTCTCAAACATGCACTCCTGCTCCCCATCGCCACTAACTTTTCTTCATGCTCCATTGATGTCAAGAGGTACATTTTTACTAGTATCAAGTATCTCAGATTGTTACCATTACTGTCGGCTGAGTTGGAACTAAGAATTGTGCGATTTTTCAGCCGTTGAACAATTGATGATAATTTTAAGAATTCGAAGAAAATAAGTGTCTAGAAAAACCGGTCGGATTATTTTGCTAGTCACATTCAATTTTCACAATCTGATTTTGACTAAAGTCTGCCAATATTGTACTTCAATGTTGAAATTACTTCTAAACGGTTTCAGCTGTATGTTGATGTATTTGTGAAAACGAATTACAAATTCTCCGAGGCACCTAGAACACTGCAGAAAATTTAAGCAATTTTTTTTTCTCTATTTAGTTTTTTAAAATTGATATCTACTTTCAAATTTAATTTATCCTATAGTTTAGATTTTTACAGTGATGTATAATAGATGAAAACCCAGATTAACTTAATAAAAAAAAGCTGACAGAACATGAATATCCTACTTATATTATAGACCTGTTGGCCTGCGTATTATTTGAAATAGATTCATTAAAAGTACATGAATTTCTATTAGTGAAATGATAGTTAAAATGAGATAATTAAAGGTGGATCAACTGTTTTCTTAAATGCACTATTTTGATGGGTGGTCTCAATTATTTTTTACACCATAATTTTTATTCTTACTGATTATCTGGCTATGGCCCGCGTTTTAATTTAACTGAATCTTTAAACATTTTACAAGAAATTACAAGAGTGTGCGTCCATTTATTGATATTTGAGTTGAAGGCAAAATGAATAAACACAAAGAGTTTAGTCATCAGAATAATTGAATATAAAGAAAATTTATAAGAGACAATTTAGAGGCAAAAAGAGGCACTGAACACTTAAAGACGATTACCTCTTCAGACAAATTGGTTCGGTTTTTTATGGCAACTGTTCTCCATCTTCATAGCCTTTTGGACTTTCTTCATTTTTCTCTCGTAGCGAATTAAATTTTATCTTGGTTGATTTTTCAAATCAAAAATCATGTATCAATTTTTTTAACAAGGAAGTTCTCAGATATGCACATGATTTGAACTTCTGAAATTTGAAAAAGAACTGCTGAATTTTAATGCCAAAAAACCACAATGTCCATCTGAATTTCCAGCATGGGCTCTGAAAGATGGATGCAATGAAATCTACAGGCATTTAACGTTCCCTCTAAATGAGTTCCTGAAAAATAGCCTATACCCTTTAAAAGAGTTACTAAAAAGCAATAGTCACTCCAATATACCAAAAAGACGATCCAGAGAACTACAGACCAATTCCAATAACTGGAGCACTCTCCTAAGTCTTCGAAAAGTATTATACAAACAAACAAGGATAGCCGGTTAGTGTGCAAGTAGCACAGAATGTTCCTACCACAGTCTTAAAAATACAGTTTTTTTGTCGTTGTCGTTTTTTCTGCATGTTGTGATAAGATCTGAACGGAAAAATAAAGTTTAAGCATATTTGAGAGTAATAGTAAAATAGGTCAATTGGAAAACACTTTTTGAACAAAAATGACCAGAAAAACGAAAAAAAAAAGTGAAATTCTGAAATCAATTCAAAATTTTTTCTTTTTGTTATTGAAATTTTTTTTTATTTTCACGTTTTTGATTCCAAAAATTGCGCTTTAACTCTATAATTACCTTTACTTGAATAAATTTTTTTTGACCTCTGAAATTGAAATTAAGCTTAAATAAGCTATTGTAAGCGTACCCGGACACCTTATCAGCTCGAAGTTAGACCAAAAATAAAAAATTTCAAACCGGTTCTTCTCGACAGTGAAAAAAAATTCGAAATTTTTTTTGTGGTTCGAATCACGATTGAAAGGGGTTTACTGTGATATATCACTCAACCCAGTCTGATCATTATTTGTAGCAGCTGATTTTGCGTTGAAAACAAAGCAGAAAAAACACTAAAACACCCGAATATAAAGTTCCTCCCCATTTTCAATGGTCGGACCAATAATTGACTATCTCTTATCCAACAATCTCCTAAGCAACACTCAATTCGGATTTAGAATATCCTATTCAGCAATCGACTCCATAGTATATTGCACAGAACATTTCAAAAAAGCCCTTTACAATGATAAATTCGTTGCATGCTCTTTATTAGACCTATCCAAAGCATTCGATACTATTGATCACAGGTTCTTAAAACTTAAGTTAGAATTGTTAGATTTCTCTGAAAGTGCAATTCAAATGATAAACTCTTTGATAAGCAATCATAAACAAACTTTTTTTCAATAATGTTGAATTAAACTGGATTTCATTACATCAGGGGGTCCCACAGGGTACTGTACATGGACCACTCACTTTTGATTTTTATATCAATGATCTAAATAAGCAGTTACCTGACTTCTGTAAGGAAGTGTAATACGCCGAGGACACATGAATAAATTATGAACTACATGATGTAAGAGTGGTGCTTCTACAAAATTTTAAAAAGCTGCAAAAAATATCACCACTTCCAATTCCATTCTCTCAAACGGAATGCCAAGAAAACTCTTTTTCTCGGTAGATAAAACTTTAATTGAAGAAAAAGCCGATTTTCAATATCTTGGAGTCATTCTCAATCAATTTTTAACATTTCAAAGAGAAACTAGATTGATTTTAAGAAAATTGGCGTCCGGAATAAAAAACATTACAGTCGATTAAAAAAACACTTCCAATCAAAACAAGAACTTTAATATTTTGAACGCAGTTGTCATTAATCATCTACAATACCCAGCTATTCTTTCAAATGAAGTTCAATCTTTTCACTTGAAAAACAATTAAGTTAATTAGAACATGCTGCGATCATGCAAAATTTGATTCATTGTCTGACCTGAAACTCAAGTACAACGTTCTACCTATTTCCATGTTTCTGAAATTCAAGATTATACGACTGCCAGCTTAGGAAAGAGTTAGATATAAAAACAAAGAAATCGAACTACACCCAAGATTAACTAAGCTATTTTTTAACTGAAAGATATAATGGTAAACACATTGAAGTCTCATTTTTCAAAACATCAGTTACAATATGGAATAATATTCGTCAAAGCTTAACTTCGGATAACATTCTGAATAGATACATTTTTACAAAAGCAGATTTTTTATTACTATTTAACGACTATTACACCGACAAACTGTGGTAAGCTTCCTTGGAAAAAAGTGAAATCTATTTAAGTTTTCAGTCAATTTCTCTGAGAACTGTTTGTGATTACAATAATTGTTATCGCTTGAAATATACTACAATATATAAGTTTGATGTGAAAATATATGACATACACTTGCTGTTCCGAATTAGTTTCGAAATGCAATAAAGTTTTCATTTTTTAAGAATTTGTTTGGTGTTATCAAAGTTGAGATCAATTTCATCAACTTCGACCTGACCATCAAAAAAAATCAGACCTACATTTTCTTAAATTTTTGGGAATCCGAATTGCGACCGATTAATATGATACCACGCTTCACCCCCCTACAAGCTTTCTTTGAGCTAGTAAAAGTTAGGCGGATAAGAAAGCACCCTGAAGTGAAGTGGTCGGAGCAAATATATGGCCCTAAAATTCTTTGAATGTGAATAATTTTTTGGTAGACTTTTATGACAACAAATAGAAGCTCAAAGAGCTTTTAGGCCATATATTTTTATGTGGAAATCCTTCAATAATAATGAGTCAATTTTTGTTCGATTTACTTGAGACTTTTCCAACTGTCTTGTCTGTTGGCTATTTTTTTTTAAATTTTAATTTGGTTTTTGCATATAAATTTTGCTTAACATTGCAGGACTCTTCTGCGAATCATGGAAGCACCTGTGCACAGTATGGGGCAAGATTCGCCGGACATCCACAGGCTGCTTCAGTCTTGTCCCAAGGGCTGCGAGACACTCCTCATCCGAATACTCCATGTGCTCCTGGATCCAAAAGACTCTGGACCACCCTACAGGCCAGGTAGCGTCAAATTGTATTGGATTATTGTTGTAAATCGATGTCAAAAACAGTTTTAAAATGATCAGTGTCTGAATCTATCTACTTTTTCAGGGGTCTTGCAGATTTTCAAAAACGATTTTTAGTAATTTCATTTCAAATTGAGCATTAACAATGCAATTTGTTTTTATTTGTGGAGTCTTAAGTTTTTTGAGAGGAATACGAAGAAGTCTTAAATCAGATATTGAATTTTTTTTCTACGGAATTCATCTTGGACGACATTTGGTAGTTGAAATTGTTTAAACTTTCGAATCAATGTGTTATAGTACGAACTTTCGTTTTTTCCAACCTAAGTCGCAAATATTGTTGCGACTTTTGTTGCGGCGACTAAGTCGCAATTATTGTTGCGACTTAAATCAACAGTATTTGCTGCGTCTAATTTGCTGCATCGAATTGGCAATAAGATATTTTGATATATTGTTGCACCTTTGAAATTTGGTTGCACTTTTACAGCTTATTGATAACATGAACATGTGCTTTGATATTCGAATAATTGTAAATTTACACAGTTGATGCGTTTTTAATTCATCAAATGAACGGAAGAAAGCTATTTGTTTCAAACAACATAACAATAATATAATCTCGATTTCAGTCATTTTCTAACTCAATATATCTCGCAATTTTTTGAAATGCGTTATTTATGCATAATGTGGCTTTATCATTTGCGATTTTTTTTACATGTAAAATTGTATCTTTTTGTATTTGATGCTACTTTTACTGCATCGAATTGGCAATTTATTAGCATATGTAGCTGCATTATTGATGGCTATTTTTTTGGGATTTTAAGCATCCGTGGCGGAATGGTTAGTGTGTGAGACTCAAATTTGCTAGGTCGCAGATTTTTGCTTATTCGAGTTTTTGCTAAGCCTCGAGTTTTTGCAAATTCAAGGCTTATTTCTACTTTTTCTTGTGTCACTTGATTGAGCTGCTGTTTGATCGTGTTCTCGCAAATGTTTGCGTAGTGCAGCTTCGCCTCTGTGTCAAATATGTACCAGAAATTATTCGTTGTTTCAGGAAATGTCCAGATCTCGTCAGAGTTGACTGGCCATGTTAAGAACCTGTACAAGGAAAATGGCGATGTGAGGTTCTTGTTGCCAGTTTTAGCTGGATTGGGAAAACAGGAAGTACTCGAGGCGTTGCCCAAGATGGTCAAACTCAGTCCTGATTTATGTAAGTATATAAACTCAACTGAATATTTAGCTTGTGAGATTCACTTTTCTCTAGAGACTCAGGGGTATCAAGTAACGTTGTGCTTTGATCTATATTTGAGAGAGTTGGCTTTTTTTGCGCATATCTGCCGTGTTTTAAAAACTCTAGTAAGAGTCGATGAGGATAGTTCAGACTCTTACATAGGTTTCGATGATTTTTTTTTGTTTTTTTTTTCAAGAAAAGTTATGCTAATTTACTTTTTCGCGGTTCTTTTTAAGTTCAGTTCATTATTTTGTTTAAAAAGAAGCAAACTTCACTATCGAACAGCGAAAGTTAAACGGTCATGAAAAACGTGATCGACTTCTAGTTTCGAAAGTGAAATTTAATTTTCTGATTTCCCAGCGAAATAATAAATTTACCTAATGATCCAGTCTTCTCAAATTGGGTTAGTTTTATCATAAGAGTTGCAATCACAAATTGTTTTAGAACTTTAAAGAGCTTTAAGGGCATCTATTTTTTTCTTCGAATATCAAAAATTGAGGTTTTCTCAAAAAAAACATGCCAGTCGTCGTGTCGTAATCGATTGTTGATAACTCGAAGTGATGATGCCTTTCATTGATTACTTTGAATGATCTAGCATCATAAAAGAATCTTTTTTGGTAACTTCCACTTGCCTTTGTTAACAGTTGGCGAACTATTTGGTATTGACATTGTGTCGAGCCTGTCGAATTTGAATGTTTAAGACTAATGAAAGTAGTGAAGACTTATATAGGTCTTGCTGATTTTTTTTTCCAGAGAAAGTCTCTAATAACTACAGATGCGCATTCATACATATTGATGCATTTATAAATGTACTTCGGTATTTTTGCAGTTTTTGAGATTCATTGAAATTCATATGCTGAAAATGACGTAAATAGTCCTCTCCAAATACGAAAGTGGAAATGGCGGAAAAAACGTGAACGATTTCTAGTTTCGAAAGTGGCATTTAATTTTTAGATTTCCAGCTGAATAAAAACTTTACTTATTGATCCAGTTTTCTTTAGTTGGGTTAATGTTATCAAAAAAGCGCCAATCATAAATTGTTCTAGAAGCTCAAAGGGCATCTTTTTTTGAAATTAGAAAGTCCAATTAGAAATTAAAAACTAGCTTCAATAAAGTCAGCGTTTTTTTAATGTTTACTTGCGTTCATTACTATTTTCCAATCTTTGATTGGCTATGTTTCATAATTCTAAGTAGTGATGTTCTTTCCTTAATTGCTTGAAACTCATCTAGCATTATAAAAAAACTAAAATTTTATTTAAAATCTCCGGTACCCTCCACTTGCCAGTGATAACAATGGGCGAACTATATGGTACCAATATTATGTCGAGCATGTCGTATTCGTTTGTTAAAAACTCGAAGTGATGATGCTCTTTCATTGATTTGATGCTCTTTCATGAAGTGTTGATGAAATTAATTTTTCAAAGTTTGTTGAAATGAATATTTAACATGTGGTCCTGTGAGCATACAAATGAAAGAGGACTTGGTTTTGTTAACGAATTGCTTTAGTTAAAGAGGTCTTCAAGCGTCTGCTGGGAATCGTGCAGTCCAACTCGGAATCCGCAGACGTCGGAAGTGCCTCCACCGCCTCTCGACTGTTGGCAGTGGATCTGTTCGTTGGCTTCCACAAGATAGAGGGTGATTTGAAAAGTGCAATGTTGGCGGTCAATGCGTGTATGACTGAGGAGGGAGTGTTTAATCAGTCGGTGTTGGCGGTTTCCTTGACGCAGCTGCTGGAGCTAAAAGTACTGCCGACGTTGCTACTCAGAACTGTTCTGCAGGTTATTTTACTGTTCATATTACTAATCGATTCTTTTTTTTTTTACAAAGCAGATCATCAAAAGGGTTTAAATTCACATATGAAATATTTATTTTATAAAGAAAAGTAGTACTTTGGTGAAGTGCGAGCATTTATATCTAATTTCATACATGTGTTTTCTCTTGTAGGCTCTGAACAAATACCCGAAGATGCGTTCGTTCGTTCTGAATACGGTATTGCAGCGACTGATTGTGAGACAGGTGTGGAAAAGGGACAAATTGTGGGATGGCTTCATCAGAGTAGTGCAGAAGACAGTACCGGACTCATTCGGTATCCTGCTCCAGTTGCCAAGTGAACAACTCATCAGGTGTGAATGAATGAGAAATGGTATAGCGAGTAGTTTCCCGAGTATACCTAAGTTGTTAACCCATTTTCAACCAAGAAAAGGCTGACCGATTTCGGCTGCAATAGTGATACCATGTGAAAGTTCTAGACGCAAAAAAACGACCATGAGTTGCAGCAACAAACGAGATTCGCTCAACAAAATTACTCAGTCTGGAATGTGGGGAAATAAGCCCAGAAAAATAACTATAAAATATTGAATGTACATTTTCATCAAGGACATCATATTGATTGGGACGAGTTGAGCAGCTTGATTGTTGGATGAAATGGTATTAACTTAACATACTACCAGCACTACAAAATTCGGAGTTTAAAAATAAAAATTAGCCTTTTACTTGATTGGTAAAATTGGATGCATAAGTTAATTATCTTTTGAGAATAAATATAAAAGTACGCAAATTGCTACTTGAAATGGTTATTTGGTTAATTTTTTGTCGAAAATTTGCAAATTCGCTGATCAAATACTGATGTTTTTAGCGTTTTCAATTATTCCACGGAGTTGAAAAAAGGTCTGCTGTCGCATTGGTCGGCGCTTCCTGAGTACCAGCGTAGCCAAGTGCTCCCATCACTGCAACAGCTTCTCAACTCCCCTGATCCAGGCGCTCCAAAGGGTGTGAACGATGGAACGACAACTAAATCGAGAAAGCGAAGTCTAGTTGAAGAGAATCAGCCGCAAGTGGAAGGCAGCGGTGAAACTGATAAAGAGAAAGCTCAAACCGTTTCATCACAATTGAAGAAAACAAAAACGGATGGTGATGATTTTTCGCCCGAGTTTTTCGCACAGCTAATGGAGAGTATTTGCAATGACGTCATTGACGATATAGCTCAAGAAGTGTGCAATAGTTTGACGGAGGAATTAGCCGAAGAGATATTGGACGAAACTCCACTTGAAATTTTTATCTGCAATGACTTGATTGACATCTTGATGGCAGATGAAGCATTTAGCGTTGCTTTAGAATCAAAAACTGAACTTGAGTTGTTCGGATAAGACTAGAATTGTTATCGATTTCAACAGTATCTTTTAAGCGTTTATTTATATCTTTTTTTTCTTTGACTTAATTTTACAGTCGGAAGGGTGAACATCCTTGTTTCGAAACTGCAAAATATGAAAACTATCATAAATATAATTTTGATGTTGAAAATTTGAGAGCCAATGAAGCAAATATAAGGTTTTCGGTGGCCAGTCAATAAGCAGATTGGTCTAAGATCAGAAAGTGTCCAAGGGCAGAAAAACTGAAAAATATCAACTTTTTTAAGCTAAACAGTAAATTAATTATCAGAAATGTCAATTATACCAGAACAACGAACATTTTATGCATAGTTTGAGTAATTTAATCAAGTTTTAAAAAAAAAATCAATCAAAAAATTAAATGAAATTATTCGATTCATGCATAATTTATTCATTTTCTTGGTATTTTTTGACGATTCTAATAATTGTTATATCAATTAGCCCGTATAAATCAACTTAAGTCAAAATTTTTCTGTTTTTCTGCTCTTGGAACCATTCTGCTCTTAGACCATTCTGCTTATTGCTCCGCCTCCAAGGTTTTTGCTCTGAGTAATCGATCCCCTGCCATGTCAATGATAGTTTGCAGGGCTGTTAAAATGTTACCTATTTTAATAAATAACAAACTAACGGTTATTTACGATAAAAAACATGTTTTTTTGTTAGAAAATTGTTTTTTTTTTTCGGAATGATCAAGAACAATTCAATTCCCTGTACAAAAACGCCAGTTTCCCGGCCTTCTCCGGTCCAAGGCTTGTTCTCAATGTCCCGTACGTCGTCCCTAGCGTGGAGAATTGCCGTTCGAGGCCGGCACTGGAGGCAATCCCCCCAACGAGGGACTCAGCAATCTCACAAAGCTTGTCAGAGAATCCAATCCTTCTCCCAGTCTTCCACCAAACAGATGGTTTGACCCCAGAATAACTCTCTCCGAAAAGATTTTCTGAATATGGAGGCTCCTTGGCCATGTAGTTGGTAACATCACGCATAATGCCATTGTCAATCTCGTTCAGATACTCGATCGCTGATGCAGTTTCCACCTTGTTGAAGTCTTTTCCACCATATCTGTGGTCGAGAAGATTGGCAGCCAGAATTTCAGGAGAGAGAGCGGCTTTTGCACGTTTTGCTACTTTTTCAGCATACTCAGCCGGCGAACCCACACATACTTCGTTCCATATTTGGAAGACACTGCCAACTGTACATGTGTCGCTCTGAAGTTTGTCGAGAGCGATTCCAATGGGTTTAAAAATTGCCAATAAATTCATCAAATGGGCTTGACACCCGTAACCGTGCAAAAGCATTTCTGGTGACTTAACCCGTCTTCTTAGCCAGCCCACTCATATTGGCGGCATTGTCGGTTACCAAGCAGGTAATTTTGACTTTCCACTCTTTCTCGCATATTTCCACTTGCTCACGAAAGAGCTCTACCAGATAATCGATAGTGTGAGGATGGCCAGTGGTGTCAACAGTATTGACTAGAAGCACTTTGGACGAAGTTATGATCGAAACTCCGATAATAGGGTCATTCGATCTTGTGGACCAGCCGTCAAGTACCAGCGTTGCATTGCACCCACTGACAAAATTCGCTACTTTTGATTTTTCCTCTCCGTAAAGCTCGTCCAGGAGCGGGCCGGAAACTTTCTGTCGATTGGGGATTTTTGTACCTGGCCGGAGCATCGTAAAAAGCTTTTCGAACGGTTTGTTCTCGACCTGCAGGAATGCTGTATTTGAGGCTACTACGTAGCGGGTAACCTGTAGCTCGATCTGGTGTTGCATAGATTTGGAAGTTGAAAATGACGGCACCGATAGTTTCGTTTGTTTCATCGAAGACGGCCCAGCTTCATGTTTTTCGGTGTTGTTGGCAGCACATTTGTCCAAGTGCTTCTGCATCCGATCTGGATTCGATACTAGATCCATCTGGCAGAAGTCACATTTTGCTCGAATCACCCCGTCGATGGTGATTTCCGAAAAATTCTGCCAAACTCCGCTCTTTCTGCGTCCCATCTCGAAATCTGAAATAAGCCAAAATCAGGTATACAGGTATAACGTATAAGCCAAAACAAAAGAACCACTGGAAATAGGTAACAAGTGTTGAATATTTACATAACAAACAGTTATTTATTTGCTTGTTAAATAACATTGTTAAATAACATTGCAGCCCTGATAGTTTGTGAGGGCGAGCTCACGCTAGAACTCTAGCTTCAGAGACGCACTTCTCGTAGACACATGAATAGCGCTTGTACAAATCCGATATCAGCGTCGAGTCGGGTTTCAATGCGTATAGTTTTTAGTTTATAAATCAAATTGATGACGCGGAAATCAATTGTTTTTTATAAATTGCCAAGGCAGATAAATTAGGCAAAGGAGATAAATTATACAAAATGCGAGAGAAATTGTCTTGTAATGTAGCATTGAAAAACGATTTCCGAAGTATCATTGGAGACTTATATTTCAAAAGAACTAAAAAACAGAAGACCTTTTTTAAAGTTTCTTGTGGTTCTTTTTTTTGTTCACGCTCAAATTCGATTTTTCGCGGTTTCACTTGAATTTCTGTACAAATATTTTGCTGAAAGGAATACAGTGCTAATTTAAATCATCCGGACAAAACGAACAAAACTTGAATTTTCAAACACGTTTTTCTCAAATGGGGTTAAGAGAAGACAAAAAGTGAAAAGAACAAAACTTGTTTAGAATTCCATCAGAATTATTATGGTGCACTTTTTTCTCCGAAATTCTCGACCAAAATTTTACCCCAAAAATGGGTCATTTTGGCTTTTTTTCAATAAATCAAGAATTACGCTGAAACTACTTAGTTAATTGATGAGGAATTTATATGACAAGAAACCGCTTACACAGTTCAACAGAGTTCTTGAAGGGTTGAATCTCCAAAAATTTGAGTAAATTGTTTTGGATATTGTTTGAGTATATTGTTTCTTGAATACCAAGCAAAAACATATTCTCTTATACTGGTTTTTGGAGATTTAACCCTTCTAGAACTTTGTTGGGTTGTGTAAGAGGCTTCTTTTGATATGTATTTCTTATCAATTAACAAAATAATTTCAGCGTAATTCTTCATTTACTGAAAAATGACAAATTTTTGGTTGAGAATTTCGAAGAAAAAATTTCTTCATTTTAATTCTGATGGATTTCTAAGCAAGTTTTGTTCTCTTCAGTTTTTGTCTAATCTTAAACCAATTTGAGAAAAACGTGTTTGAAAGCTCAAGGTTTACTAATTTTGTCCGGATAATTTAAATCAGCACTGTACGAACGTTCTGAAAAAAACGAAAGTGTAAAAATCGTGCAGGAATAAATTATGCGCATTGTTATGCAGAAATTTATAACACTCATAGCTTAAGCGCGACTAATTTGTCCCAAAATTTATCTTCTTGATTTCTGATTGGTTGAAATTTGAGCCAACAAATTTATAGATTGATTGTTTACTGTTCAAGCAGCATAAACTCAAGCTGCAGAATAGTGACCGACGCAGCCGCGCCAACGTGTTGCGAGCTTGCCAACAGAGGGCAGGACTCTATACGAAATTTAGAGCCGGTTATCGCCGCGAAGCGGCGTAGCGCGCCCACCGGCGAACTTACACCGAGACTCGGCTAATTTAGTCATTTGACCCATTGAAAAGATCTAAGACGAGACTCGAGTTACACTGTTCTGATAAAATTGACTGATGCTTAAGAAAACTGTATCATATGATAATTTTTGATTTGATTCGAATTTCTGGAAGTTTTCTAAACCCCAATAGAAACGATAACGGTCACCGGAAGTATTTAAGTGGCTCGGACTCGGGTCGAGCTCGCATGGCGCGCCCTTAAGCGTAACCAAGAAAATTGCCAAGAGCGAAGAGTTTATGCAGTTTGTACCCACTTAGCTAGTTTCAGTGTAACTGCTTTGCGCGTTTTTGGGGCCTTTGTGTGGTCCCAAAACAGAATTGTTTCTTCAAATTTATTGTTGCTAATGTATCTTTTCAGATTGCCTTTGATTGCATAATAGCTGTTGACTAATTGGTTATTTTATGAAATTTAGTTCAAAGAGATAAACAGATGACTTCTCAGAAAGAACTGTTCCGTGATTTAATGAATAATGGAACTTTATTGGTTACGAATTCCCAAACTTTGACTGAAGACTTGGCAGAACTGAAGTTCATTCTGGCCAAAGATCTGGTCACTTCCAAAAGCAGCGTTCCCAAGAAGTATTTAGAGTTCATTGAGAGCCATTTGAAGAAGCAATTATTTTTGGACGTGGAAGATTGTTATAAACTGATCACGAAATATTTCACTTGTGAGTTTTTTGGCAACAAAGATGACGTGAAAAACATGCTTGAAAATCACCAACAAAAAACAGACCTCGCTAATGCGGTCACGCAGTACTATTTCTCGGAGCAAACTTTCAGACTTCTCGCGGTTCGAGATTTCTTGATTTTAAGATGCCAAAATAAGGATGATATCGGAACCGATAGCCGAAAAGTGACTTACATAGAACAATGTCTATCTCTATACAAAGAATCGGTTAAATCTTTTTGTGAAATAGCAAATGACGATTTGATGCTACAGTTGGATCATGCGTGGAGCCGGTATGTTAACGATTGGTATATATTGGCTCAGATTATGATTTTTGCTTCTGTTGAGCGAAACTTAACTCTAGCTCAACTAACCGAAATGATGGAGATATGTGATTCTATTATGATAGAATTGCAGCCTTTAGTCTACAAAGCTTCTCCTAGATTTGCTCAGTTTTTTGAAGATTTATTGAAACTGTTTTCCATCATATTTCTCAAAAATTTCGGCCTTGATTCAATTTTTGAGTCAGTTGATGAGCAAAATAACTTGGGCAATGCATCTCATTTTGTACAAAAAGAATCGCCCCATGCTCTGAATAAGTTTTCATCCTTACTTCTCAGAAACTGTGCTTCATTGCCGATTGTAGGACTTGCGTGGTTTGTTGTCAGAAGTTCCTCAAAAACTATTAGCGAAAGTGACGAAAAAGTTGGCCGTATTTCTCTACAGCGTAATGCCATTGAACTAATGAGGAAACAGCTGATTTCTGACGAGATTTCAAATCCTATTATTTCGAAGATCTATTCAAGATGTCTATTCTTGATGTTAAGAAGTCTGTTAACTAAATTTGAAGTCGAAAGTTTGTTTGACAAAACATCAACCTTGCTCGAGATTCTTGGGAAGCTGTTACGAACGGAAGAAAATGCTGTTTCATTTTTCTTGGATCTTGAATTAAACGCGACTGCTAATGTTGGATTTAATTCAACTTTTCTGTCACTGGTTTACAATTTCCCGAACTCGGCAGCTCAGTTATTTTCTACTCTGGCCGATGCCTGTCACCCGTTTTCACACGTGAAGATTTATAACCTAGTTAGTGGGCTAAATGTCGATGAAGGTCAAAGGGCAGCCGTAGATGATTTATCTATCAACGGTTGGATGTTTGCAAAAACGTGTATAGCCCAATTTTTATCTCCGATGTCTGTTTACAACGAATCAGGCCTGAATGAAGTAGAATTGATCGCGAATATCGTGCAAATGGTCGACCGGTTATTGGATTGTGGTCTATCTTTACAACCCGCAATCACGCAGATCTTAGAACTCTTGCCTCAATTAGTTTGTAATCTCATCAATTCGTTTTCGTGCGCGGAGTTTGTCCAAGTTGAAAAAACAATCACGTGTAGTGCCAGTTGTCTGAAGCCTTTGATGAAAATACGACCCGAATTAGTCATAGACGAGTTAAGACAATGCGAAATATTCCCGAAAATTCAGTCTAAATTATTTATGTCCGGAAATTCCCCCCTAAAGTGGGATAGTATTGAGTTGAGTCGAAGCTTGTTTACCGATACTCTATTTCCGAATGAGATTAAGTTGGGCGGAAAGTTTTCAGGAACTGCAACCTTGTTTGAACTAATGGAACTGGGGTCAATTAGCCTATTGGAATGTTGTGATAACCAAGTTGAGGTAGTGAAGTTCTTTATCATAAATGCGCAGTTAGTAACGCGAGTTATTTTACCCCATATTTGCTGCGACCCTTTCTTCAGAATTAAAAGTTCGGTGTCATTAATAAACCAATGTGTGAAATCATTGCTTGACAGTCTGAGAGTTCTAGAAAATTCTCGACTTGATATTGCTGAGATTTATTCAGCCGAAGTTTGCCATATGGTATTGTTCACATCATTTGGGTCGTGTCTAGCGGAAATTTTAAAACTGGGAAACGAATTTGTGACATTAAATCTGAACAATCAACTCATAACTTCGACTCATTGTGGAATCGGGACAGAACTTGTGAGCGTCATTAACAACGTGTTGGAGTTAATTGTGCATACTTGGAACTCGAATCAAAGAAATGAACAGCTAACTTCAATCGAGGTCAAGTTATTTCACGAAAGTGAAGGTTTGGGTTTTAAAAAACTAGTGTCGTTTATTTTTCACCAATTAGATTGTAATCTGCCATCAATCTCCTGTAAATTGTTAAAACTGTTTGCAGCAAATGCGAACTCTTCATTGTTTACGTTTCTGCACGACTTGAAGGAACCAATTCGCGATCAGTTCAGTCGAGTTTTGAGCAAGAAAACCGAAAATGATTTGCTCAAAAGTGCCATTTTGCAAGTTATGACTTGCAGCGTTGAAAGTCAGCCAGCTTTGCTAGACTTCCTGATAAATATGGATTGTGCTACAAAACAGCTGCAGCAGCCTTCGGTGTTAACACCAATTTTGAATATTCTCTTTGAAAATTGTGATAACTTGGGCCCGAAATCTTTCATTCCGCAATATTTTGTTCACATTGTCGAGTTAGTTCACGTGTTGTGGACTGAGAGCGATGCTCAAATTCAAGTTCAAGATTATATGAAGTCGCAAGACAAATTTTGGGAAAGTCTGCTCAAAATTTTAAAGTGCAGTAAAGACCCGATGAATGAAAAGATAGTTGTTTGCGCAACCCGCGTGATGAAAATTTCTGCAATTGAATTGCGGAACCTTCCTGTTGGAAATATGCAAACGGATCATTTCAAAATGGAAGTTACTGAATTTTTAAAAGATGGGTTTTGGTTTTCTTGGTTCGAACACGCCTTTAAAATTGCCAATAGTCTAAAATTGAAATCAGAAAATGCTTCGAAAAGTTTTCGAGATGCTGAAAAGTCGTTTCGGGTTTTGTGCAATTTGGTTTCAGCGATGAGACAATTTTTGACTTCAATTTTAAATAGAACTGAATCCTCAAAACTGTTTCGACAAGTTGACAAGAAGGAAATTAGGAAGGCTTTAACGTTAAGTTTGGAAGCGATTCAAATTTTGCTAGAAATGCTCCGAGAAAAATCAGATTTTGAAGATGTAGACCATGAAATTGAATTAAATTTGACAGAAGATATCATAAGTGTTTGGTCGATTATTGTATTGAACTTGATCCAACAACCGGACGTAAAAACGCCCGAAAACTTGGAAAAAATTTGCGAAATTTTACGAATATCTTCGATATTGAATAGCTTCAATTTCTACGAAAAATTCAATGTTTCGATGTTTTCGTGCTTGACTTTCATAATGCAAGAAGAATCAGCGTCAAAAATCCAAAGAGACTCGCTGGTCACATTAATGATTGCATCGGCAAATCACTTGTTAAAGTCAACGATTTCAACAGTTTCTGCTGATGGTGAAATATCGCCTATGTGTGATGTGGCCATTTCAATGCTCTCAGTTTTGTTTCTAAGAGTGCCTTCCGTTGATCAGTTCTTAAAGCAAATCAGTCAGCTGAATTTGATATCAACTATGATTTCGCTTCTTAAATTTGCAGCCAATAGACAGGGCAATAGATCACAACTCGCCTCAAGTGTATTGGCTTTTTTCGTGCATCTCAGCTCATATAAATCGTCAGCTGAATTTTTGGTTAAGTGTAATATGCACCAAGAATTGTGCTTAACCTTGCTTAATGTAAGCAGACAATTTGACCCAGAAGCAAAAGAAACATATAGTGCAAAACAAAATGGGAACAAAAATGGAGCCAATGCGAGTTCGACCGATAGTTTCAATTGTTTTTCATCGATGATGGTTCTTTCAGCTAACCTATTAGTGCATGCCGAGTCAGCCTATCTGGAACAGTCCTTAGACATTGTCAGTTGCTTTGAACAAAGAATTGTTCACAACTTTTCGGCTCTCTATTTCAACCAATCAGAATACTTTCTCAACGAGCTGCTGTCAGTTCTGCAGTTCATACAGGAACTGAGCACCTACATGAAAGTTTGGAGATACAAACTGAAAGATAATTTTGACGTTATAACAAAAAGCATGGCGACAGCCTGTCAAACGTGTATTGCCTTATTGATTCGCCCTAAATATTTCCAGTACCTGTTGACTCATGGGTCGCATCCAAGCGATAGGCGACGTTTAAGTACCTCAGAATCCCCCAGTATGTCGGGCGACTCCTTGGCCCGAGGATTGAGTACGAAGAAATGGACACCGACAGTGGACTCGACCCCGGCTATGAGTGGAGGAAGCTCCTCCTTGTCCAGACAAAGAAGTCTGAGCTCGACCATTTTGACAACCGGTTAGTAGCTGCTACTTAACATCCATGTTTTTCTTTTTACTACGAGTTATTATATTAACTGCTCCATGTCCTGGCTCAATGTTAAAAATGTTTTAGCGATTTTTTATTTTGACAGGAACCTCATTTACTCTTGAAGACGCACATCTCAGTGGCGACGAACTGATCGAAAAGCAAAGAAAGCTCCTGGAGATCGTAACCTTCGTCTTAATTTCTTTCAATCACATGACCCTACCGATTCCCCAGTCTTGTCTATTAGTAGCATGTACTCCAGATCTCACCCAGTTCCCGGTTCTTCTAGATGCCTCCTTTTCCAGTCCCTCGATCGAGTCCGCCAGTGTGCCGTGTTTGGGCACCTTGTTGTCCTGTTGCAATTATGCAGTTGGTCTGTTGATCGCAAGGACAGATGTTGGCAAGTCTCCGAGAAGAGTGCTAGAATCGCCGGGTTTGTTTTTGAAGATTGCGATATGTTCATTTCGAACCATCTGATGGCTGCGAAATAATTAGAAATTTAAAGTTGCGGTTTCTTCTGCTGTAAGAGCGAAGTTTTCTTATGTTCTGTAAGCACATGTCATTAGGAAACTAACAGAAAAAATGTTTCTCTTTGTTTTTCGATGTGATCATGATTGATCAATCTATCTATCTATCTATCTATCTATCTATCTATCTATCTATCTATCTATCTATCTATCTATCTATCTATCTATCTCTATCTATCTATCTATCTCTATCTATTATTTAATTGTCGTTTCATGTGGCACATGTTTAAGAAGTCCCTATGTTGACATGTTTAAGAGAACTCTATCTTTGCATGTTTAAACTTTTCAACGTATTATTTTTTGCATGTTTAACGAAAGTGTTTTGCACGTTAAAGCTGTATCGTATATTGAAACGCTTAGGAAGTTTCATTTAGCACAATTTTAAGAAGTCCTTATGCTGGTCTTTTAAAAGGCCAAAACATGCAAGTGTTGAAAAGCTTACTTAAGTCAGCGTTTCAAAATCTGATGGAGCTCGAATGCTTTAAAATTTAAAATTCCTTTATTCGCAACCTAAAACTATCACAGTTTTTGTTTCAGTTTACTTAAATAATTTTGAATTTCGCAACCCCACAGTGGTGTGCTATCAGGGTACCCTCAAGGCCTGTAAATCTAGCGTCCAAGTATGACTGCTCAAATCCTTATGGTTTTCGATATAGGGCGTTTTTTATGATTTTTCATTCTTTTTTTTTCAAAAAATTTAGATATAAAAAAACTAACCGAACTTGATTTTCTCCACCCTTTAGTGGGGTCCTATCGGGGTACACTCCAGAGCTGCAAATCTAGCGTCAATCTATGACTGCTCAAATCCTTATGGTTTTCGAGATATAGCGTTTTTTATGATTTTTTTTTTCAAAAAACTTTGATATAAAAAAAACTAACCGAACTTGAATTTCTCAACCCTATAGTGGGGTGCTATCGGGGTACCCTCGGGGGCTGCAAATCTAGTGTCAAAGTATGACTGCTCAAATCCCTATGGTTTTCGAGATAGAGCTTTTTTATGATTTTTCATTTTTTCTCAAAAACTTAGATACAAAAAAAACTAACCGAATTTGATTTTAATTTTTCTCAACCCTATAGTGGGGACTATCAGTGTACCCTCAAGGGCTAAAAATCTAGCGTCCAACTATGACTGCTCAAATCCTTATGGTTTTCGAGATATAGCGTTTTTTATGATTTTTTTTCCAAAAAACTTAGAAATAAAAAAACTAACCAAACTTGATTTTCTCAAACCTATAGTGGGATCCTATCGGGGTAAACTCCAGAGCTGCAAATCTAGCGTCCAAGTATGACTGCTCAAATACTTATGGTTTTCGAGATTTGACGTTTTTTATGATTTTTTTTTTTCATAAACTAAGATTTAAAAAAAACTAACCGACTTTGAGTTTTTCATTCCTGAAGTGGTGTGCTATCGGGGTACAATCAAAGGCTCTGAATCTTGCGTTGAAGTATGACTGCTTAAATTGTTATATTTTTCTAGATATGGCGTTTTTAAAAAATTTTTCATTTTTTTTTCAAAAAATTTAGATAAAAAAAACTAACCACTAACCAAACTTGAACTTCTCAACCCTATAGTGGTGTCCTATCATGGTACACTCCAGAGCTGCAAATCTAGCGTCAAACTATGACTGCTCAAATCCTTATGGTTTTCGAGATATAGCGTTTTTTATGATTTTTTTTTTTCAAAAAACTTTGATATAAAAAAAACTAACCGAACTTGAATTTCTCAACCCTATAGTGGGGTGCTATCGGGGTACCCTCGGGGGCTGCAAATCTAGTGTCCAAGTATGACTGCTCAAATCCTTATGGTTTTCGAGGTATGGCAGTTTTTTATGATTCTTTTTTTTCAAAAAACTTAGATATGAAAAACTAACGGAACTTGATTTTCTCAACCCTATAGTAGGGTCCTATCAGGGTACACTGCAGAGTTGAAAACCTAGCGTCAAAGTATGACTGCTCAAATCCCTATGGTTTTCGAGATAGAGCTTTTTTTATGATTTTTCATTTTTTCTCAAAAAACTTAGATACAAAAAAAAACTAACCGAATTTGATTTTAATTTTTCTCAACCCTATGGTGGGGACTATCAGTGTACCCTCAAGGGCTAAAAATCTAGCGTCCAACTATGACTGCTCAAATCCTTATGGTTTTCGAGATATAGCGTTTTTTATGATTTTTTTTCCAAAAAACTTAGATATAAAAAAACTAACCAAACCTGATTTTCTCAAACCTATAGTAGGGTCCTATCAGGGTACACTGCAGAGTTGAAAACCTAGCGTCAAAGTATGACTGCTCAAATCCCTATGGTTTTCGAGATAGAGCTTTTTTTTATGATTTTTCATTTTTTCTCAAAAAACTTAGATATAAAAAAAAACTAACCGAATTTGATTTTAGATTTTCTCAACCCTATAGTGGGGACTATCAGTGTACCCTCAAGGGCTAAAAATCTAGCGTCTAACTATGACTGCTCAAATCCTTATGGTTTTCGAGATATAGCGTTTTTTATGATTTTTTTTCCAAAAAACTTAGATATAAAAAAACTAACCAAACTTGATTTTCTCAAACTATAGTAGGGTCTTATCAGGGTACACTGCAGAGTTGAAAACCTAGCGTCAAAGTATGACTGCTCAAATCCCTATGGTTTTCGAGATAGAGCTTTTTTTATGATTTTTCATTTTTTCTCAAAAAACTTAGATATAAAAAAAACTAACCGAATTTGATTTTAGACTTTCTCAACCCTATAGTGGGGACTATCAGTGTACCCTCAAGGGCTAAAAATCTAGCGTCCAACTATGGATGCTCAAATCCCTATGGTTTTCGAGATAGAGCTTTTTTATGATTTTTCATTTTTTCTCAAAAAACTTAGATATAAAAAAAAACTAACCGAATTTGATTTTAGATTTTCTCAACCCTATAGTAGGATCCTATCAGGGTACACTGCAGAGTTGAAAACCTAGCGTCAAAGTACGACTGCTCAAATCCCTATGGTTTTCGAGATAGAGCTTTTTTATGATTTTTCATTTTTTCTCAAAAAACTTAGATACAAAAAAAAACTAACCGAATTTGATTTTAATTTTTCTCAACCCTATAGTGGGGACTATCAGTGTACCCTCAAGGGCTAAAAATCTAGCGTCCAACTATGACTGCTCAAATCCTTATGGTTTTCGAGATATAGCGTTTTTTATGATTTTTTTTCCAAAAAACTTAGATATAAAAAAACTAACCAAACTTGATTTTCTCAAACCTATAGTAGGGTCCTATCAGGGTACACTGCAGAGTTGAAAACCTAGCGTCAAAGTATGACTGCTCAAATCCCTATGGTTTTCGAGATAGAGCTTTTTTTATGATTTTTCATTTTTTCTCAAAAAACTTAGATACAAAAAAAAACTAACCGAATTTGATTTTAATTTTTCTCAACCCTATGGTGGGGACTATCAGTGTACCCTCAAGGGCTAAAAATCTAGCGTCCAACTATGACTGCTCAAATCCTTATGGTTTTCGAGATATAGCGTTTTTTCTGATTTTTTTTCCAAAAAACTTAGATATAAAAAAACTAACCAAACTTGATTTTCTCAAACCTATAATGGGTTCCTATCGGGGTAAACTCCAGAGCTGCAAATCTAGCGTCCAAGTATGACTGCTCAAATACTTATGGTTTTCGAGATTTGACGTTTTTTATGATATTTTTTTTTTCATAAACTAAGATTTAAAAAAACTAACCGACTTTGAGTTTTTCATTCCTGAAGTGGTGTGCTATCGGGGTACAATCAAAGGCTCTGAATCTTGCGTTGAAGTATGACTGCTTAAATTGTTATACTTTTCTAGATATGCGTTTTTTAAAATTTTTTCATTTTTTTTCAAAAAATTTAGATGAAAAAAACTAACCACTAACCAAACTTGAACTTCTCAACCCTATAGTGGAGTCCTATCATGGTACACTCCAGAGCTGCAAATCTAGCGTCAAACTATGACTGCTCAAATCCTTATGGTTTTCGAGATATAGCGTTTTTTATGATTTTTTTTTTCAAAAAACTTTGATATAAAAAAAACTAACCGAACTTGAATTTCTCAACCCTATAGTGGGGTGCTATCGGGGTACCCTCGGGGGCTGCAAATCTAGTGTCCAAGTATGACTGCTCAAATCCTTATGGTTTTCGAGGTATGGCAGTTTTTTATGATTCTTTTTTTTTTCAAAAAACTTAGATATGAAAAACTAACGGAACTTGATTTTCTCAACCCTATAGTAGGGTCCTATCAGGGTACACTGCAGAGTTGAAAACCTGGCGTCAAAGTATGACTGCTCAAATCCCTATGGTTTTCGAGATAGAGCTTTTTTATGATTTTTCATTTTTTCTCAAAAAACTTAGATATAAAAAAAAACTAACCGAATTTGATTTTAGATTTTCTCAACCCTATAGTGGGGACTATCAGTGTACCCTCAAGGGCTAAAAATCTAGCGTCCAACTATGACTGCTCAAATCCTTATGGTTTTCGAGATATAGCGTTTTTTATGATTTTTTTTCCAAAAAACGTAGATATAAAAAAACTAACCAAACTTGATTTTCTCAAACCTATAGTAGGGTCCTATCAGGGTACACTGCAGAGTTGAAAACCTAGCGTCAAAGTATGACTGCTCAAATCCCTATGGTTTTCGAGATAGAGCTTTTTTTATCATTTTTCATTTTTTCTCAAAAAACTTAGATATAAAAAAAAACTAACCGAATTTGATTTTAGATTTTTCAACCCTATAGTGGCGACTATCAGTGTACCCTCAAGGGCTAAAAATCTAGCGTCTAACTATGACTGCTCAAATCCTTATGGTTTTCGAGATATAGCGTTTTTTATGATTTTTTTTTCAAAAAAACTTAGATATAAAAAAACTAACCAAACTTGATTTTCTCAAACCTATAGTAGGGTCCTATCAGGGTACACTGCAGAGTTGAAAACCTAGCGTCAAAGTATGACTGCTCAAATCCCTATGGTTTTCGAGATAGAGCTTTTTTTATGATTTTTCATTTTTTCTCAAAAAACCTAAATATCAAAAAAACTAACCGAATTTGATTTTAGACTTTCTCAACCCTATAGTGGGGACTATCAGTGTACCCTCAAGGGCTAAAAATCTAGCGTCCAACTATGACTGCTCAAATCCCTATGGTTTTCGAGATAGAGCTTTTTTTATGATTTTTCATTTTTTCTCAAAAAAACTTAGATATAAAAAAAAAACTAACCGAATTTGATTTTAGATTTTCTCAACCCTATAGTGGGGACTATCAGTGTACTCTCAGGGGCTAAAAATCTAGCGTCCAACTATGACTGCTCAAATCCTTATGGTTTTCGAGATATAGCGTTTTTTATGATTTTTTTTCCAAAAAACTTAGATATAAAAAAACTAACCAAACTTGATTTTCTCAAACCTATAGTAGGGTCCTATCAGGGTACACTGCAGAGTTGAAAACCTAGCGTCAAAGTATGACTGCTCAAATCCCTATGGTTTTCGAGATGGAGCTTTTTTTATGATTTTTCATTTTTTCTCAAAAAACTTAGATATAAAAAAAAACTAACCGAATTTGATTTTAGATTTTTCAACCCTATAGTGGGGACTATCAGTGTACCCTCAAGGGCTAAAAATCTAGCGTCTAACTATGACTGCTCAAATCCTTATGGTTTTCGAGATATAGCGTTTTTTATGATTTTTTTTTCAAAAAAAACTTAGATATAAAAAAACTAACCAAACTTGATTTTCTCAAACCTATAGTAGGGTCCTATCAGGGTACACTGCAGAGTTGAAAACCTAGCGTCAAAGTATGACTGCTCAAATCCCTATGGTTTTCGAGATAGAGCTTTTTTTATGATTTTTCATTTTTTCTCAAAAAACTTAGATATCAAAAAAACTAACCGAATTTGATTTTAGACTTTCTCAACCCTATAGTGGGGACTATCAGTGTACCCTCAAGGGCTAAAAATCTGGCGTCCAACTATGACTGCTCAAATCCCTATGGTTTTCGAGATAGAGCTTTTTTTATGATTTTTCATTTTTTCTCAAAAAACTTAGATATAAAAGAAAACTAACCGAATTTGATTTTAGATTTTTCAACCCTATAGTGGGGACTATCAGTGTACCCTCAAGGGCTAAAAATCTAGCGTCTAACTATGACTGCTCAAATCCTTATGGTTTTCGAGATATAGCGTTTTTTATGATTTTTTTTTCAAAAAAACTTAGATATAAAAAAACTAACCAAACTTGATTTTCTCAAACCTATAGTAGGGTCCTATCAGGGTACACTGCAGAGTTGAAAACCTAGCGTCAAAGTATGACTGCTCAAATCCCTATGGTTTTCGAGATAGAGCTTTTTTTATGATTTTTCATTTTTTCTCAAAAAACTTAGATATCAAAAAAACTAACCGAATTTGATTTTATACTTTCTCAACCCTATAGTGGGGACTATCAGTGTACCCTCAAGGGCTAAAAATCTAGCGTCCAACTATGACTGCTCAAATCCCTATGGTTTTCGAGATAGAGCTTTTTTTATGATTTTTCATTTTTTCTCAAAAAACTTAGATATAAAAAAAAACTAACCGAATTTGATTTTAGATTTTCTCAACCCTATAGTGGGGACTATCAGTGTACTCTCAGGGGCTAAAAATCTAGCGTCCAACTATGACTGCTCAAATCCTTATGGTTTTTTCGCGATAGAGCTTTTTTATGATTTTTCATTTTTTCTCAAAAAACTTAGATATAAAAAAAAACTAACCGAATTTGATTTTAGATTTTCTCAACCCTATAGTGGGGACTATCAGTGTACCCTCATGGGCTAAAAATCTAGCGTCCAACTATGACTGCTCAAATCCTTATGGTTTTCGAGATATAGCGTTTTTTATGATTTTTTTTCCAAAAAACTTAGATATAAAAAAACTAACCAAACTTGATTTTCTCAAACCTATAATGGGTTTCTATCGGGGTACACTCCAGAGCTGCAAATCTAGCGTCCAAGTATGACTGCTCAAATCTGTTTGGTTTTCGAGATATTGCGTTTTTTATGATTTTTTGTTTTTTTTCCCCAAAAAGTTAGATATAAAAAAATGTACCGAACTTGAATTTCTCAACCCTATAGTGAGGTGCTGTCAGGGTACCTTCAGGGGTTGCAAATCTGGCGTCCAAGTATGATGCTCAATTCTTTTATTTTTCGAGAAATTTGTTTTGTCATTTTTCTGAAGTATGGTTTTGTAGCACCGGAGGTGCGATTGACGCGCTAGTTAGAAATTATAATTTGTATTTAAGACTCTTTAAAATGCTGATTGTCTTATATTGTCCTTTGTTTTGACGAAGTCAAATTGTTAGTAATCAACTTATAGCAAATCATGTTATAACTTAACGATTTTACCGGTTTTTCTTGAGAATTAATATGAGAAAATTTATGTCACGAATAATTTGAATGTTTCAGGAGCAGCGTCTCGTCAGCTTATGCCTCGTCAATGTATATTCCTCATGCTTGAAAACGCAGCTCTACTTCTCATGTCTCAGTCCAGTCTCATAATTCAACAGTTCGACAACGGGACTCGCGATCCGACAGACGGACACAAACGCGACACAGCTAAGCAAGTTTTCATCCGGGACGTCGCGAGTGAGCTCGAAACATTTATAACTTCGATCAGCCGCTACTTTCACAGAACTGGTATCTCGATTCCGCCTCTGAATAGCTCAAAGGGAGGACCGCAAAGTAGTCCAGGATCCCAACTGTTCGGCAGTGACTCGCAAGGGTGTGCAAAGAGTGATTTGGGTTCATCGGGAACTTCAAGTAGAAATTACGCAAGTAGCAATGTGGAATTGACTGTGTATTATATCGTTGAATTATTTTTGAACAGATGTCTGAAAAATAGCTCAAGTGGTTGACTAAGTTTGTCAAAAACTGTGTGTTATGCTCTGCGTTGCTTGTCTATATGCTGTGAAGTGTTAATGACTTTTCTTGATTGGACCGTTTAACAATAAATTATTTCAACTTTTTTTCTGTCATAATATAGATCGTCATATGCAGATTTAGGTGGGGGGGGGGGGGTGAAAATACTGAAAGTTTATGGAGCTCGCAAAGGGAAAAGGCATTTAAATGCTGGAGTTTTAGTCAAGAAGAGGTTCTATTCAAAAAATCTTTTCCGTTCTTTCGAAATTTGTTCTTTGGAAATTTATATCCAAGGCTGTTAGTATTTCTATTTCTCTAATAGAGTAAACTCGGTGTTAGGAAACTCCGGTGCTTAGATTCAATTAATACTGTTTTTCAGACTTCGTAATGACAGCCGCTGAACAGAAAACGACGCCAGTTGTAGTAGCGGCTAAAACAGCAGCTGCGCCCAAAAAAGCGACAGTCGGCGACAAACTCAAGTGGCCCTTATTCTACACTGCGTGGTTGGGGGGTTACTACCATCTCCTTTTGTCAATCCATCATCAGAAACACAAATTCGGAACCCCTTGGGGTAGAACTGCGATAGTCATGGGCACAATATTCACTCTGGGAGCGGCCAAGAATTTCATCTCGCCTCCTAAACAAGATTAAACACACCCACTAGCACTAACATGACTGTTTTGAGATCAAATTCAATCAAGGTTGAAAACAAACTGATAAAATGGATAGACACTGATGCTGTATATTAACTAAAACTTTACTGCGAGTTGAAATTTTCTAACGAAGTAAATATACGAGATTGAAGGGATTTATATCTTAATTTTTTGGAAGCCCAGGTGCATGTTTGCCAATTATTTGTTCCGATCACTGAAGGTGGGGAGAAACTTTGTCTTTGGGTGTGTTTTGTTTTTTAACGTTTTTTTGCCACGCAAAATCAGATAAACAAGTTGTCGGAATAGATGGAGTGGTTCATCATATTAAAGTTCCTTCAGTTGTGTTTCGAACAATTTTCAAAAAAGTTTGCTCAGTGACGAGAAAACCGGTTGGATATTTTTGATCCTTGGTCTAATTTCGAGCGAATAAAAGAACGAGCAAGCTTAGAGTTGGAGAATAAGCTATTATTTAAGCTATAAAAACTGTTTTACTCTAGTAGTGCTATTTTTGGAAATTTTTTCATGATTTTATCTATCTATACATCTATCTATCTATAGATTTTTTAATTGGCGTTTCATTTGAGAAATTTTTTGGAAGTTTATATGTTGACATATTTAAGAAGTCCCTATGTTGACTTATTTAAGCTTTTTGGATGCATTATTTTTTGAACGATTTTTTTGAACGATCGTATATTGTTACGCTTAAGAAATTTCATTTGGCACATGTTTAAGAAGTCGCTATGTTGGTCTGATAAATGGTGAAAACATTTCGGGTTGAAATGTTTATTCAAGTCGACGGTTTTAAATCTGTTTTAGGGCGAATGCATTAACTCTACATTTTTCCTATGTTCGCAATGTGAATCTATCAAATTTTGTTTCAGTTTTTTTAACTAAATGTTAATTTTTTAACATTTTAGTGGGTTGCTGGCGGGGAACACTCAGGGGTTGCATATATGGCGTCCAACTGTGACTGCCCAATTCATTAATAATTTTTTAGATTTTTTTTCAAATAACAGCAGATATGAAATAAAGTAAACGAACTTGAAATTCTCAACCCTATCGTGGGATGCTGTAAGAATTCACTCAGGAGTTGCAAATCTGGCTTCCAAGTATGACTGCTCATTTCCTTCTGGTTTTAGTGATATGGCGTTTTTTGTGATTTCATTTTTTTTTTCAAAAAACTTAGTTATAAAACAAAACTAAGCGAATTTAAGTTTCGCAACCCTCTAGTGGCGTGCGATCAGGGAACACTCAGGGGTTGCAAATCTGAATTTTAAAGATGGCTGCTCAAGTTTTTTGTTTTTCGAGATTTGGCGTTTTTTTACGATTTTCAATTTTTTGTTTGGTATAGAAAAAACTGGGCGAATTCTTATTTCTCAACTCTTAGGCGGGATATAAAATATAGTAACCGATTTTGAAATTCTCAACCCTTTAGTGGGGGTACTGTCAGATAACAGTCAGGAGTTGGAAATCTGGTTTTCAAGTAAGACTGCTCGAATGCTTTTGGTTTTTGAGATATGGCACTTTTATGATTTTTAAAAAAAATTTTCCAAAAACGTAGATAAAAAAATTTTCAATCGAACTTGAATTGCTCAACCCTATAGCTGGGTGCTGTCGGGGTACACTCAGGGGTTCCCACCAAATTTGACTGCGCAGTATCTTTAGGTTCCCGAGTTGTGGCGTTTTTTGTGACTTTTCGATTTTTCTTTCAAAAAACTAACCTCTCTTGAAAATTTTTTGTTGGGTTTTTTCAGGGTACTTTCAGGGAGTACTGTCAGAGTAAAAATGAAGGGGTGTTGTCAGGCCTCTATCTTTGTTTGTCAGCGTACAAATCAGGGGTTACTGTCAAGACCTATATTTTGCTGCTCAAACCTTCTTTGTGTCCTTTCTTTCTTCAATCTTTTTTTAAAAGAACTTCGATTTAGAAACAAATCTGAAAAAAACTTAGGTTTATAACTCGAAGCTCTTGCCCCTGTGGTGGGAAGCTGCCAAGGAACAATATAGGGTAGCAAATCCGCCCTTTAATTTTATCTGCTCAAATCGTTTCGGTCTTCGAGAAAAAGCGTTTTTTATGAAAATGAAACCCCCTGATAGATGAGCCCAGTTTATCTTAACGGTTGCCTTAAAATAGGGTCACTAAAATATCGCCGTTATAGCACATGTTTTAGGAAGCTGTTTTTTACGTTCGACGATCTATTTGAAGCACCGTAGGTGCGACTCATGCGCTTTTTTTTCAATTGATTTCTACTCATTTTTCGATAAAAAAATTTGGCGAATATGCTTAAGTAAATATTCCTATCTATATGCCGAAGTTCTTGGCTTTCATTCAGATCTTCTAATCAAGCAGTGGAAAAAACGACCCAAATAAAATAAAACCGTTTGTTTTGCACAGCAACAGGATATCCGTGAGTCATATTGATCCGTTGTCGGAAAAATATGCCATTTCGCGAAAGCTGAAATCGCGTTGAAGGTTTTTCTCACATATTCGATGGCAGTTCTCGTATAAGTGGGTACTATACTTGTTTTTCTACCGTTAAACTATTTAAGTTCCTCAACTGCACTTTAAAGCTTGCTTGCAGTTTCATCGCTCGAGAAATTTTCTTAGCTTATTGATTGCTGAAGCAAGCTTTAAATTTGTGCGAATCAATTCACGATAAAATATTTAGATTTATTTCATGAGTTGCATCGCTTGAATGGCTTGCTCAGAAAAAGTAATTTTTCGAATCGATTTGAGGTATGAATTATTTTTAAAAACTTAAAACTTTAATTTAAATTTTGCAAACAGAGTTATTATATGGAATCACTCAAGTTATTCAAGTTTCAGTGCTTGAATAGCTTGCTGATTGCTCAATAAAACCAATTTTTGGGACTTGATTGATTAATTTATACGGGCCTTGCTATCCTATATACCAAATGAATGACAGAAAAACTAATGTCACTTTAGCTGCCATAATGCGCAATGCTTTAAGACCGACCGTCAAGTTCAACGTTTACAAAGTTAGTATAAGCTCAGCTTCACTAAAAAGAATATTCTGAATTTAGCATGCTCTAGAAGATTGTTTTGCAAAACCATTGCTTCAGACAAGATCAACTTGAATCATTTTCAAGGCTAGACATATCCACTTAATGCTCTCTGATTTTTCTATCACCATTTTTTAAATTCAATTTCTGGAACCATTAAAGTAAATAAATAATATTCTCTTTTTGTAGTGAACAGAGCCCAAATATCATTTGAGATCTGCGCAGTTTTATTATTCAGAGGGTTTGAATGAGATTACCTTTCTAGAAAAATTTAGCTGCAGAAGTTTCAAGTTTTATTGGTTAAATCAAACTGAATCGAAATAAAATTGCGCTCCGTTGCTAGGAAATTTTGAACATTTTTTTTACTGACTAGTTTCTATTGTTTGCGTCTCTGCTGATTTTTTGAGTGCTCCGTTATCACATCTCTTGTTCGTAACAGTCTTTAATTTCTTCTTTTTCTACAGACTTCACTTTCGGATAGCTTATCAAGGCTATCCTCTATTAGTAATATGTCACTTAGACTTTAATCTCTTCAGATGCATATTAGGCTCGTGCTGGGGTCCCCTTGGTGTTAAGATGTAAAAAACATAATTACTAGTACTATAGTTTTATTGCAAAACCAACCAACTGATCTTGATGTTGGTGGTATGATTTTGTGTCGTTATACAGTAATCTCAAAATAAGCGAACAAATAGAATAAACATTAATCGTATGACAATTTATCTAATTCATCACAGTTCAACTATACGCCTTCAGCATTTAAAGTTCAAATTCCTGTCATTTGTACCACATGTCACACTACCACCCTTTAAGAAACTTTCCCGCTTTTTGGTTTTAGGTATTCCAGAGTCTCTATAGAAAATGCGCATCACTTCATTTTCACGCTTCAGTGTTCAAAATCTCAGATCTTCTCGTTAACATGTTCATCTAGTAACAACTGATAAGGGCAACTCTACATACATTAACTGATTCATCTTTTTTCTCAACGCTTTTCGTTTATCCTCGAACAGGGGAGATTCTGATTCGCCCACGAAATTAGAAATTAATCGCCATATCTATAGAAACCAAACCCAAACAAAAATTCGCATATAAATAACTGTTCGTTCTGAGCGTCCATGATTTCGATCAATAATTAATTCTCATTTCCAAAGATATTCGCCTGCTAGGTGTTCCGGTCACTCATCCTTCGAGCAACTACTGAATAAATCTCCAACTATTTCTCTTTTGGGTTTTTCCAGTGCAGATACAAATTTTTCTCTTAGATTTTTGAATTTCCATCGATCAAAAGTAAGATCTCTCATGAATAGAAACTGTTGCGCGAATTCGTGACATCTCCAGCTTGTCCTATCGCCATGTCGGATAGCTTATTAAAGCTATCCCATTCCTATCACCATGTCGGATAGCTTT